GGGGGGGGGGGGGGTCCAAAATATGGTGTGTAATTTTTGTTCATTGAAAACTGAAAAAAAAATATTTGATAATTAAGTGAAATGTTTTAATATCTCCGTCAATTATTAAAATATATACAAAAAGTTGCAAACAAATTTATCAACATTTAAAATTGTTTCTGGAGAAAAATAAGGATAATCCGACTTAATTGATCAGTGAAAGGCCGGCTTAAAGGGTACCATTGAGCATCAGACACAACACTCTAAAAAATGAACGGTCAATTGAAATAACGTTTATTCCAATTGGAGAGAATTAATATCACGTGTATTTTCCTGTAATTTGAAAATCTTCTGGTACATCATTTCTCATAATTGTCCTGGGACATTTGTTGTACAAGCTGTACAATACAGAAGAAATTGAACATAATGTGTGAATATTCTCTCTCCCCCCCGCTCCTTACTGTACTGCAGGGACCCTGGAGAAGGATAAATTATATACATAGAATCCTGATTGTAAACCGTATATGTACAGTGTATACTGTACAACAATAAAACTGATTCAAATACTTCAGTTTGCACTAACCTGCGCTGCAACTCTTACATCAGAATTAATATTCAGGTATACAATTATCTGATATACTCGCTCATCTTCTCATGAAAACATATTCGAAAGTCTATATTTCTATTCACTATTATAAGTTTTATAGAGCTGAGTTCGATAGTAAATACAGGTCCATTCAAAAACCATTACTCTCTAACGAGAAACAAACAAATTTATATTTATTCTATTATTTAGAATCACTGGTAGAGGTTAGAGTGGGCGTTCCTCTTGTCCTCTCCTCCCCTTCATACTTTGACTCTCTGCGTACTGAGAGCCTGGAGTATAGAAGTAAGCTAGAGATGACAACCTCGCCAACCCCCCTGGAAAGGTCGAGTACTCGTTTATTTGTCCTTTTGTATTGAAATAAACGATTGTACAAATTTATTGCAAAGCAGTCATTTTCTATCAGTGAATGTACTGAAATAATTCTGATTCATTAAAGAGGTTTTTACGTATAGAATAGATTATCCTCTATAAACTAAATCTGGTCTATACGACAACATTCATGAGAAGTAGTGTGTGGGTTGCCAAGAGAGAGCCTTCATGTGGTGCAACCCACAGTGCTGCGAAGCACTGCAAAGCCTCTCATCAAACTCTTCAGTTTTTGACAAGGAACCAAGAAATCTTTCAGTCCAATGTTTTTTGTAACTAAAGACCAGCTCCCTCCGGCGGGACTGGTCAGAATGCTACTGCTGATTGCCGGTATAGAACCCAACCCGGGCCCTATTCCTGGACGAGGATGGATCTGCAGTGTATGTAACCAACAGATAAACGAACAAACACAAACCTCAGTAAAGAGCAACAAATGTAATAACTGGTGCCACCTACGTAAAAATAAAGAAACAAACTGCAGTCAACTTAAATCAATCAGAAATTACTCACTTGTCTTCCAGTGCCCCACATGCTGTGATAGCGACAACACAACTAATAAACAACCTAATACTACAACAGTCTGTGATAGCAACAACACAACTAGTCAACAACCTACCACAACAACTACCAGTCAACAACCTACTTATCAACAGAGTAAATCCAAAGAAAACAACCAACCAAAGAACTACGATCTGAAAATTCTACAATTAAACTGCAACAGAATAAGAAACAAATCCACAGAACTAAACCTATGGCTAAAGGAAAACGACATAAAAATAGCAGCAATCCAAGAAACCAAACTCACCAACAAATAAAAGCCTCCAAACTTTCCTAATTATACACTGATAAGAAAAGACAGAGAACGAGATACTGGTGGAGGACTAGCCTTCCTGGTTCATGAAACTATTCCCTTTGAACCCCTTCCAGATGTCCAACTTGACAAATTTACAGAATACCTCACCATAAAGGTCGACAATAAAAAAATTGTAAATATATATATTCCCCCTGCCAGCAGCTCTGATATCGGGTTTTCATCAAATCTAGCCATGCTTTTTACAGACAATAGTACAATAATTATGGGTGATTTTAATGCCCATGACCCACTATGGTTCTCCCCCATCCAAGACTCCAGAGGTACCCTGGTCTCTGATGAAATTGGTGCCAGCTCCTTCGGTGACTTGGACATGCCTACCAGAACCTCCAGAAACTCACAACCAACCTCTCCTGATATATCACTTGCAGGCCCCCCTCTACTCCCATACTGTAACTGGACAACATCTCCAAGCTTAGGATCTGACCATCTACCCATTGTTATAACTTGTACAACGACACTCAAACTCATAATGAGTGAGATCAAAACTTACATAAATTTCAAAAAAGCTGACTGGGTGAACTTCACCCTAACCTCAGAAGAGGAGATTTCTAAACTCAACCCACCCACAGATGTCTACAGAGCTGAACAAGATTTTAGAGAAGTCATTAACAGAGTATCCAGAAACACAATACCTCAAGGACGAATCAAAGAAATATTCCCAGAAGTCCCAACCACAGTCAAGAACAAGATACTTGAGAGAGATGAACTAAGGAAAACAAACCCACAATCTCCACAGATTCCAGAACTCAACTATGAGATAAACAAACTAATAAACTAACATAAACAAGAAAAATGGAGAGAAGAAGTAGGAAACATAGATAGGAAAACAGACCCTTCGAAACTTTTCAACCTACTTAAACGCCTTAATGGACAACCACAAAGCAAACAGAACCAAGGAATCAGATTCAAAGGAAAATACCTGTCCACTGCATCAAATATTGCAAATAACTTCAACAAACAATACACATCTGTCTCAAGGCACACCAGCTCCAAACTCACTAGAACCATCTTCAAAGAATCACAAAGGAACACTACATCAGGAGCTACAATAATCACAGCATCTGATACATGTGAAGCAATAAAACAAGCCAAATCCTCCAAAGCAATAGGACCTGACGGAATATCCAACCTTCATCTTTAACACCTTGGACCACTAGGACTTAAGTATCTAACTAACATTTTCAACCTCTCACTTCAGAACAGTAAAATCCCTCAAATATGGAAAAACTTGATCATCATCCCTCTCCTTAAACCAGGAAAAGATCCTGCTGAGTCCAAATCCTATAGACCTGTTTCACTTCTATGCCCTGCAGCTAAAATCTGAGAAAGACTAATCCTACCTGAACTCACAGAACACCTTCCTATCCCGAACTTCCAACATGGTTTCAGGAAAAACCACTCTACAGTATCTGCCCTCAATGACCTAAATCAAGACATCACCAGAGGTTTTAATCAGAAAAAACCTGCTGACAGAACTGTCCTCCTTCAAATTGACCTATCTAAAGCCTTCGACATGGTATCCCATGACAAACTCCTCAATGACCTGAACAAGTCTACTCTCCCCCCTTTTGTTAAACGTTGGTTAAGCTGCTACCTGAGAGGCAGACAATCCAAGGTTAATTTCAGGAATAAACAGTCAAAATCAAGGAACGTCAGAACAGGCGTTCCTCAAGGAGCGGTAATCTCACCAATCCTCTTCAATTTCTATCTCAAAGATCTGCCTTCCCCCCCTCCAGGTATTAAAGTAATTCAATATGCTGATGACATCTACTCCATCTACTCATCAGGGAAATCCATCACCTCCATGTCAATTAGCATCAGCAACTATGTCAATAAAGTAACAGACTTTCTGGAAGAAAGAGAACTATTAGTCACTCCAGAAAAATCGACCGTCACTCTCTTCACTCCAGACTCCCATGAAGCCAAAATCCATCCCCAGATCAAAATCAAAAACCTACTCGTTCCTCTAGAAAAACATCCCATACTCCTTGGAGTAACTTTTGACACCATGCACACCTTCAACCAGCACGCCAAACTAACAGCCTCAAAAGCAAGTAAGAAAATAAACATATTAAAATCACTGGCAGGATCCACATGGGGCCAAAGCAAGGAAACGTTAAATTTTATATTCTCATTTTGGATTTTGAAATCTCACTACCGCCAATACCAGAGTTTGAAAATAAAAGTTGAAATTTTATATTCTCATTTTGGATTTTCAAATCTCACTTTTTATTTTTTTCATGAATCTCACTACCTTTGAACTTGACACTATATACTTTTATTTTATAAAACTGGGGCATTTTATACCTACAGCCCTATAGAAGCCTCTAATTTCCTTGGACTGGAAGAACTCGAAGATCCTGACCCAGGATGAAGCTACAACAACAGAAGTAATGTGCCAGAAGATTTTCAAATTCTGAATATTTACTAAATTTTGCGGATTTTAAAGTTTATTTTCACGTCTATTGGTTTAAAAAGGAGTAAAATTATATAAGCAACTGCCTTGTGTATAATTTGGGAAATTTCATTTTTGCCGGGATTTTTACTTTGTTTTGTTTGTTTGAGGTTAAAATTCAAGCTTTTAAACCCCAAACGTAGTGAACAGAACAGAATATGGTCTGAATATAAAAAAAAATTGACGCTAATATTTAATATCAATATTGTATTCAAAAAATATGAATACAAATAATTGGAAGCCATTTTTAAACGTCAAAAAAAAGAAATACGATTAGCAACCCAAGTAAAACAAGGAAAACTACCTAAGGAAAGATAAAATCTGAAATAAAAACAAAAATTAATTATTTATTTTTATCTAGTTGAAGTGCCCGGCGTTGCCAAGGTTACTTATAGTTACTCCCGCCGTTCACCCCACGCGTGCTTGACCTTGAATTATATATATTTTTCGGAAGTGCATTGCCGGGGAAATTTAAAAGAACTCAAAACAAAATTTTTACGTCATCCCCTGGGGTACCCGTGGGTTCCCTCAAAAAATGTCAGTCAATTTTTTGGCCAGCTATAGCGAACATACAAATGAGCTTTATTATACAGATTATGTTTAAATTTAAGTAAAATATAGAAGAGCAATTTTAAATCAAAAGTAGTCAGAACATTAGTATGGATAATCGTTAATCTGGTACGCTTGATCTTGATATCCAATGTGGGCGCTTTTAAATTAATGAGGATCCCTCAACTAAAGTTTTTCCTGCAGGGTACAACAAAATGACCTTCATAGGATAATGACATGGCAACCTTTGGATCAAGCTGTTCATGATAACTCCAACAGAACTTGTTAATATAAATACATAAAATAAATTTTCATATTTTAATTACTGTTTATTGATTGAACAGATTTCAGAAAATTTGTCCAAATATATTTGCAATTTTGTAATGGCGTCGTCAAAAATTTTGTGATTTATGATGTTCTCTTCACATTACTTTACTAAATAATTACAAATTTAGCCCAAAAAAAATGCCTTTACAAAATCAGATTTTTAGATTTTAAAAACAAAAAGAAAATGTTTTAAAAAGCTAGAGTATAAAAAAAACTTTCCAAAATTTATAACTTTTTTATATTGAAGCTACAAAAATATTTACTTTCTTTTGTTTAAAAGATAAAATAAATGAAAAATAAAAGGCTCTGGGTTCATTCTAAATTCATTAATATTTAAAGAGATGTTTCAGGAAAGGGGGAGGGGTAACAGGGAGTTGGGGGGGGGATAAAATCAATATCATTTATAATATCTTTATTCGGATATAAAACCATTTCCTTTTCTTTTGTGTTATACAATGTGTTTTTGTTCTATATTTTATTCTAAATTGTAATATTATATTTCTGACGTTTGGTATTTAACATTTATCTATGGTATTTAAGAAATAAGCTAGCGTTCGTAAAAAGAAAATACATTTTAATGGCCTTTCTGTGTTCTGTGGTATTGTTTTTTCTTACAAGAATTCATAATTTTCTGGAAAGAGAATTTGTGCTTGTGTGATTTTTATGTATTCATTTTTATTAATTATTCTACATTTTTTAGATATCAAAATGCTAACTTTATTGATCATGAGAATGTCTTGAATTGAATTATAAAAATATAATAAGGTTTCAGAATTCTGAACTGTTGTGTGCAGTATCGTTAATCCTATTTCTCTTGATCTCGATATCCATGGTGGGCAAAAGTTCAAAAACCTAAAAAAGGAAAAAATGTATCATTGAGAAGTGAAGCTACTGACTAGACTGACAAAGTCCTTTATTTAAGAAAGACGACATTTAAAGGATTTTAAATACATTTAAACTTTCTTTGTAACACATATTGCAATTAAAACCTCTTCTTACAAAGAAACATTTTCATGTTAAAATTTTTTCCATTGAGCCCTAAAAACCAACCAAGGTATTAAATAACCATAAATAAAATCGTTTTGATTTTTTGCTCCAGGAAAAATTCAAGAATTCAGATCGAAGCTATCTATTTCTTTTTAATTAATAAATTGTGTAATAAAAGTACGATCGGAAAAAAATTAAATTTTTATGATAATTTAATCCATTCAAGGAAAAATTATATTTTGTTTTTAATTCATAAATTTTTAAAATTCTTTTTTAACAATATAAAACAATGTTTTCTTTTTCAAGTTTGTTTAATAAATTGCATCAATTATCATTAAAGATTAAAGATTAGTAAGGATTTATGGAAGGCAAAGTAAACACATTTTTAGTGACATTTTTTGCAGCAATTTTATTTATTTTTGACCGGCCATAATTCTTTTCTGGGGTTATGCTTTGGCGTGTATTGCGCAAAATCTTTTTATTAAATTTCAGACAAACTTGGACAATATTGTTAAAAATTGATTTGCATAAAAAGAAAAAATGCTTTCATGCTCATTATTAAAAAATTAGCATTTGAAAAAATGCACAACTATTGCGATGCATACGGTAAATTTTTGTGGAACGATTTTGAAAAGTTTTTGCGGAAAAATTTGAATTCTTCTTTTGATATCCATAACAACAGTGGCACTGGAAAATAATTTGATATCCTACCAATACGATTTCTGTTCATACAACAAGATAAACGGATAAGCTAGCCATCTACCACGGCAAACTAGAGGACCTGGCCAGTGAGTTTTAATTTTGGAACCAATTTTCACCAATTAAATGTAGATCTTTCGTATGTGCTATTTCATACTTTTCTATTTGTTTAATATTTCAATATTTAGGTATAAAAAAGGCGAATGTCTTACACTATTATTTATGGATTTTGATTGAGATTGAAATTATCACTGAAAATGTTTCGATACAGTGCAGACAAGATGCATTTCTTTGTTGTTAGTTTTAAGTATCTACAGGTCAAGTTTTGCGCTATTTTTGCGCAATTGCGAATAGAAACCCTGAAATACAAACAAACAAGCCAAAGACCAGATTTAATGAACAAGAGAAGTAGTTGTACAATGTAGACTAATTTCGTCCAAAAGAACTGGTTGAACCGGTTGTACGTGGCTCACTTACTTTCCGTTATTCATTAAATCTGGTCCCAAATCTAATTTATTTTTTTTTAGACTGAAGTAATCCAATCGTTTTGGAATAAATGTTTTATTTTTTCAAAATAATCATTTTTCTACAAACCTTATTTCAATCCTTTTTTAAGTCTTTCAATATTGATTTATGAATTTAAATTTAATCCTGTGTAAAGTAAAGCACACTGAAGAAATAAATAAACAAGTTTAGAAGAGATAATAAAAGTAAAATGGCCGGGGCCATTGACGATGCGGCTAAAAAAATCTTGGTTGAAGCCAACTATGAAAAGGTTAGAAAATCTGTTAAAAAAAGTTATTTAAGGAAACCTTCAATTAAAGAAAACCAAAATTGTGCCTTGTAAGCAGCTTTATCTGAGAAACAATAAAGAATATATCATCGTAATTTTATCTTTAAAAAGATTAACTATGCCACCTTCCAATCTTGTCTTTACTGCACAAATCCACAAGTCATTATTTGCAGATTTAAATTTTAAGATTTAAAAACAAAGATATCTTCGTCAGTTTTACTTGGAAGATTTTTAAGACTTGTATAGCTTTGTAAATCAGACATGTCACTATTAATTACGCCGACAGTCCCTTTAAATCGATATCACAGTCCCTTTAAATCATTATCACAGTCCCTTTAAATCATTATCACAGTTCCTTTAAATCGTTATCACAGTCCATTTAAATCATTTTCACAGTCCCTTTAAATCATTATCACAGTCCATTTAAATCCATATCACAGTCCCTTTAAATCCTTATCACAGTCTCTTTAAATCATTATCACAGTCCCTTTAAATCATTATCACAGTCCATTTAAATCATTATCACAGTCCATTTAAATCCTTATCACAGTCCATTTAAATCGCTATCACAGTCCCTTTAAATCGTTGTACAATATATATACAACTTAGGTGTTTAAGCATACGTTTGATGTAATAGAAGATTATTTCACCAGCGCTCTCTTAGCTATTGGGGCTATCTCTCTATCTGTAAGGTATCTGTAAAGAAAACCTAATCGCCCAATATTTATGCAAAAAAAAAGTTAGAATCCTCCCATATCTTTTCTTTTTAGACTTTTCTTTTTTTCATATGGTTTATATAATGAATTTTAAAAATATGTTCATGAAATCAGTTTTTCTGTTTAGATTAAGATTTCTGTCTTTAGACTTTTTTTCCTAGGTTTAAACATTAGTAGGTGTAAAAAAAAGTCTGATCATAATTTTGTGTTATGTGAGAAAGCATAAGTTTGATTTAATTTTTTTCAAATTTTTTTTTTAATGCGGACTAAATACTTTTGCAGTTTTTATACAAATTGTCTTCATAAATGGGGTTAGGCCTTCTCTTAAATTGGTGCTGTGGATAAAACAGGTTCTGGGGCCTAGAGCCTCGCTAGGATAGACTTGCAGGGAAATTTCCGCTCGGAAAATTGCATATTTGCAATAAATGTTCTTTCTTCTTAGATTTCTCTCCTCTATGGGAACCGGGGACGTTGTCTGTGTTCTTCTAGGTGAACTTTTAACCATTTCATAAAGAAAGTTCCAACCTTTGATAATCTAATCTCTATATCTGAGCGACCCGATGTTAATTTATATATCTTTGATATTATGCAAACACATGAAACTCTATTTTTCTAAACGTTTAATATTTCAGCCTTGAGTAAAATTGATCTAACAGATATAAAAGGATATGGGTATTAGAAAAATATTGTTTCGGACAAGTGATCAATTTCTTTTCACACAAAACAAAAGAAAAAAAACTTCGAACCGATCTTAACGCCATAAGGATTTATATAAGAAAACATTTAAAGGGACTGTAAGCGTAATTTTAAGTGACCCCCCCCCTTGAAGCAAATATGGCAATTCCAATTTATAACTTGAAATCTTTTTCTGATCAATTATGTGAAGAAAAAGTATTTGGTTCTAAAAATTTCGCCATTGTTGATCTGAAGCAAGAAATGCGCAAGTGTCTTATGAAGAGAAACCACGAATGAAAATAATCAGTTTGTAAAAACAAAAACATGGCTATCTCAATTCATACAGTATAATTTGGTTGAAGGGAGGGTGACTTGAAATTACATTTACAGTCCCTTAGCCTGTATAAATGTGTGTAGGTGTTAAGTATGAAAATGCATCTGCTGAAGATGGATTCATGTCTCCATATGCTACCTCTGTATTAATGTGTGTAGGTGTAAAGTATTAAAATGCATCTGCTAAAGATGGACTCATGTCTCCATATGCTACCTCTGTATTAATGTGTGTAGGTGTAAATTATTAAAATGCATCTGCTAAAGATGGACTCATGTCTCCATATGCTACCTCTGTATTAATGTGTGTAGGTGTAAAGTATGAAAATGCATCTGCTGAAGATGGATTCATGTCTCCATATGCTACCTCTGTATTAATGTGGGAAGGTGTAAAGTATGAAAATGCATCTGCTGAAGATGGACTCATGTCTCCATATGCTACCTCTATATTAATTTGTGTAGGTGTAAAGTATTAAAATGCATCTGCTAAAGATGGACTCATGTCTCCATATGCTACCTCTATATTAATGTGTGTAGGTGTTAAGTATTAAAATGCATCTGCTGAAGATGGATTCATGTCTCCATATGCTACCTCTGTATTAATGTGTGTATAGGTGTAAAGTATGAAAATGCATCTGCTGAAGATGGACTCATGTCTCCATATGCTACCTCTGTATTAATGTGTGTAGGTGTAAAGTATGAAAATGCATCTGCTGAAGATGGATTCATGTCTCCATATGCTACCTCTATATTAATGTGTGTAGGTGTAAAGTATGAAAATGCATCTGCTGAAGATGGATTCATGTCTCCATATGCTACCTCTGTATCAACAGCATTTACTAATTATGCGAACTTTCATGAGAACTGTGTAAATTCCTCTGTCACATTATATATGCAATGGGCTCCATATATTATCATCATTGAGGTATATTGTATATATGACATTACTTACAGATACAGTTTTATTCAAATAATATGGGACAGAATTAGGGTGTCTTGCGCAAAATTTTCGTATTTTTGCACGAAATGACTTTTTTGCTCGAAATTTCGAATCAATATGAAACCAGTTTTGCACAAAATTTCGCATTTATACGAAAAAAAAATATTTTTTTTTGCATGAATTTGTGGCTGAATATAGAATGTAAGTCATAATTTTTCCATGATTTCGCGCATGAATAAAAGGTCATAGTTTTTGCACGAAATTTGGTAATATGCTCATGATAATGAAACATTGGAAATTTTGTTAAATGTAGTGTGCATGAATGCGAAAATAAGGAAAAGATGTAATTTTGGTTACTTTCATTGATCAAATTTGTCAATGTAAATATGTTTTGAAAATCGTTAAAATGCTGCCACATCTTTGTATTAATATATAGATATATGTATACCGTAGACATTTCTCGTGTTTGGGTGTCTGCTTGTTTGTTACCTTCGTCGGCCGGATCAAATTGTCTTAAATTTGTATTCAAGAAACCCTCAGTGATTAATTAATTTATTTACTGAAATTGTTTCTCGAAATTTAACTAAATAGCTCGAAATAACGAAAAAGATCGCAATAACGAAATAGCAGAATTTGCGCCAAATAGCTATTGTGCATCATTGCGAAATTATGTCGAAATTTTTTGCAATATTTACTCGAAACGTCAGAAGATCTTTGCGTAATTATTGCACGATTTTCGTGCAAACAATTTCGATTGGAAGCTCTCTGGACAGAATTGAGTCTTCTCACAAAGTCTGATTTTTTAATTCCTATATCTTTGCAACCAAATTTGTTGTAGACCAGATATTTCAAACTGCGAATTCTGCTACATCAAATAATCTAAGTTTAATAAGTCAAAAATATCATTAGGTTGCAAAGATATAGGGATAGGAAAATTTGAGTTTGTGGCAAAGACTGAGTATGGGTCACTGAACTTTACATATCTGATCTATAGGATATTGACAAATCATTAATATCCGATTCGAGATACGTGGTTGAACCGTCTCAAGACCTAACTCAAATTCTATAAATCTATCTGTACTAAATTACTAATGCTCTTCCTTCCTAAAACCATTAACAAGTCTAATGATATAAATTCTATTAATTATGAACAGGGTATCTCTGAAAAAGGTGTGCTTTGGCTTTTTAGCCTAACAAACATCGTTGTATTGTACATTTTGTAGGTTAAAACGGCATTTTAAAAAATGTTTCTTCAACCTACTATGCACAATACAATGATGTTTAGAATTAAGGCTAAAACGCCTAAACACACTTTTTTCAGTAAAACGCTATATAATATATCATAATTATGTCTTTTACCATATATTTATGAGAAAGTGTTTCTATATGTTAAAATAATTATCTTGTTAAGACCCTCCTGATGATTATGGTTGAAAAAATGTTCCTGAAAATGCCCCGGGTTGCGGGAAGAATTGAGAGATTCTACAACAACATTGTAGAAGGTTGGAATCCTAGTTTAATAATTGTTTAATTTTAAAGGATTAATTTCGATATAGTTTCAGATTAATCATAAATACATGATCTCCAGTTTTTCAGCAATTAACAGACTTGGTCAGCATAAAGACCGTTTCCTTAAATCATTTTTTTAATTTTCTGAATTCAGAAATTGATTTTGAAGCTTTCTAAGAAAATGGTTTGGTAACCTATGTAGCATCGTCCGGAGTTTTCCTGCTAAAAGTAGATGAATAAAAATATGCCTTCATGTTAAAAAGTATATAGTTTTTATGTCAATTCTTGTATTTATCCATGTTATTAAGGGTATTTAAAAAAGCGGCTTGAATATTGTACAATCTAGGGCCAAACGCTTTTGTTTTTATTTCCTGTAATTTTTTAAACTTTTAATAGATTTTACAATTTTAACATTTTTATTTCAAGACAGATATTAAAGTGAAGAAAAACGTCAAGGAATTGTGTCATTGCCACAAACTCAAATTCTCTAATCCTTTGCCACCTGATGATGTCGCGATGTAAACCTTTGGTTTTTTAAACTTAGATTAGTTGATCTAACAGATTCCATAGTTTGAAATATCTAATGTCTAAATAAATATCTCACGTCTGGTTGTAAAAATATAGGGATTAGAAAATCAGAGTCTGTGGCAAAGATTAATTTCTTTCAAAGTAAGAAATTTTTTTTCCTCATTACAAAAACCTCAATGAAGGGCGTAAAAGATAGATCTTACCTGAACATTAAATAACTAAATAAATTTAGAATCCTTGTTTGGAAAGGATCCTGATGTAGCTGAGGATGTTTCTGATGACAAGGTAAACTAAACAATAGATTTTTAAAGTCAATTTAAAAATATCAAGTTTGAAATTGTTTCAGGCAAACACTGAAGCAATATCTCGCAAAAGACGTAGAAACGAGGTAAACAAATCTACCCTAAGTGTCCTGAGGCCGAATTTAAAGAAGTTGAGTCGCAGCTTAAATTTGAAACGCGGCTCAAATAGGGTTGGTTCCACTTAAAATTGTATTTAATGTTTCAAGATTTAAGCCGGCGCTCGATTGAAACCGGTTTTTGGCGGATTTGAGATGCGGCTCAAATTAAATTCGGACTCTGCACACTGTAAACTCCGGTTCATTTGAAGTACTGGACCTCTAGACTATACGGGCTCACGGTGGACTAAGGTCAATTTGAAGTACTGGACCTCTAGACTATACGGACTCACGGTGGACTAAGGTCAATTTGAATTCTAACAGGACCAACCCCTTGTTGTATTGCAGGGCAATTACCAGCCGGACCATATCCTATGCCAACTCAGTGTCAACTTTGACGCCGCAAAACGAGACCTATTATCCCTTTTTACAGAGATATTTGTGTCACATAAATTGCACTAGAAGGGGGTCATTCATTTGAGGTACCGTCCCGTTTTGCCTTGCATTTTATGTCATAGCACCATCCAGCTAGATCGATCTGGTTTAATTCGGCCCAGGAAATAAACCATGGAGGTTTAAGATGGTGTGCAACCATGTTAGTTTAAACTGTGTTGATATTAAATTATTTAGGTCTGTATGTCATTAAAGACATCAAATGTTATAAGTCAATCCTATGTTCTCAAGAACATCATGGAGATCTGTATGTTAGCAATCATCATTCCATTCAACATATATTTTACAATTGAGGTAAATGTGAATCTATATAATAAAACAAGACATTCGTATATGTTGCGTATAGCCGGCCAATCGGCTGGACCGATTGGGCTGAATTTTTTGCNGGGGGTAACATAAGCTAAAAAAATCGAAATTTTTTTTTCAAAATATTTCTTTTGTCAAATTTTAAAAAAAAATTTTATTCTACGGGCAACGCCGGGCCCTTCAGCTAGTAACATAAATACCCTAGATAAGTGATTTTCAAAAGAATATGATTTAGGCTGAAGTAAATCTGAATCCTAATGTTTGTAAGCTTGAAATACTTCATCTTCCCGATCTTGGCTTTGCAAATGGTTCCGTCTATTTCCAATGTATGGGTAAAAAGATCCAGTTTTTTCTGACCATAATCTTGGTTCAAGTGGCTTTCCAGGTAATATTGTTTTGTCATTGAGATTCATGAATAAGTATGTTCATCATTTAATGAATAGACTGCTGTTATTTTTACAAGTCTTGGATCTCTGATTTGGTGCCTGTTTGGTAGAAGTATCTCCAGGATGTTGAACAAAATTCAACAAGACGTTAATTTCAAGGAATAATTTGGAAATCTTCGCAAATGAATTAATTAGCTGCTGATGTAAAATAGATTTTTATAATTTCTATAAAATTTCCCAAAAGAATAAATATAAAGGATATTGAACCTGTTATTGGATCAGACTTTATATTTTTGATGGATCTTCTTGCTCATTCCTCAGGTTAAAAATATATATAACATTGGATTGACTTGTAAGCTTCTTGAGCACGTTGTAATGCATACAGTCTACATATGGTTAAAAAATGCCATTACTCCAATTGATTCATCTCCTTATCCAGTGAGATTATGGTGTTATGATTATTGCTTCTAAGCAAGTTTATGATACCTTTCTAAGGCGGTAAACAATTTATTGTGGAGTGTAGATGAGGTTAATGGTGATATTATCTTACCTTATCTATGAACACTCATGGCCAGGTCGCTTTTGTCTTTGTCCGCCTCTGTCCTCCTTACCTTACTTGTATTTGGCGAAAGGATTAAGTATGTATTCCTCTACCAAACTGTATTGTTCCCCTGGTGGATTTGAATACCTGCCTCCTGAGGTTGACCAACCTGTGACGGTACCTCTGACATTTGTAAGAATAGTTGTCAGGTAGGCTGGTCGACCTGGTTGACCTACTGTCTTGCTATATGCTAGGTTAGGTCAGTCAACTCTGCTGACCGGCTCTGAATAGTCTGTCGTCGGCCGGTCAACCTGGCTCCTCCTGGCCGCTGTCCCATGGCCGGTGAACCCTGTTCACTGGCCCTGGATAAAGCAACCTGGAGGACCCAAAGTGAAGAGAGGGTCTTTTCCCCTCTTCTGAAAGATATCTTGTGAAAGGGAGGAGGGTGGGAGCTTGAAAAGAACGGAGCTTAAATTTTGCTTCGTCTAAACAAACTGTAGTGGCGGCTCCCTGAACTGGTTGATCGGTTGGACTTGGTACTAAAATGGTGTTCAGTATGTTCCTATTGATTAAAGTAAGATAATATCAACACTTCTAAAACACTGTTCAAGATCTCAATAATTTTCTTTGCTGTAAAATTTTAACTATACACATTAGTTGCTGAATCATTAGTATTAAGAACCTTACCTTTACACAGGTCTGGAATCTACCCTAAGAGTGTTAACCCACTCGGATGAAACTTTCCGAAGAATCTGTTTACCCAGGTCTGAACTCCTGTAAACAAAGGAATATAGCTGAAAAATCAAATCTTAATTTTAGTAAATTTATTAAGGTTGACCTTTGACGCAGACCATATTATGGCAGAAGAAACTAGTCTGACAATAACTTGGTCTGCAGCTAAAATAGAGGAATGGTTGGTTGGTAAGATGTTGGAATATGCCACAACAATCATAACTTATTGTGTTTTCTAAAAGTGGATTAACTAGTAAACATAAAAGAAGTTTTCTCATGGTGTTTATTTTCTTTGTTAATAACACAGAGGGAGAATCGATAATGTTAAATCAAATGAATCAAATACACATTTATAGTATTTCTTCTTTTGAAACCCAAGATTATAGATTAATTAAAATAACAGATAGGACACTAGATGTAGTCTTTTCAAGATTTATGTGTGTTTGGTTCACAATAACCCTGAGACAGAAGCCCAAAGGAGTTACGCATAGTAAGCATAGAACAAGACAGAGATAAAGCCTGTTCTACGCCAACTACTTGTAACTCATTTGGGCCTCTGCCTCAGGGTTATTGTGAATGAAACACATGTAAATCTTGAAAAGAAACATCTAGTGTCCTATCTGTTATTATATCATATCTGTTCGGTTCCATAGTAGTAAACATATCGTGTAAGAATTCCCATTATTACACGGTTCAGGAGGAACAATTTTAATATTGTTCGCTTCCTTGCGTTTAAGAATGCTTATTCTTACACTGTAGGTGCAGAATTTTCATTCTTTAACGCTTAGGCCGTGTAAGAATGGAAATTATTACATGGCCAGAGCGTGAAAGAATGTGTATTCTTACACGCTCCGAGCATTAAAGAATGGAAATTATTACACTAGTTGAAGAATATTCATTCTTACACGCTTCTTATATTGATCTTTTCAACATAGATCAATATTGATATTAACTTAATTATTTTGTACTGACAACATGCACAGGGCAAACTTACCTTTTTCTTTTATTTTAATACATGCAAAATTACCTTTTTATACTTTAAAATAACATGCTCACTTACCTTTTTCTTAAATATTAAAACATTGAAGTATTGATATCTTAATTTAGGAATTTCTATTTAAAGCTTAACATTAGTCCTGACAGAAGAGTGGAACCCCCTGTGTTTAATTAGCATTTTCTAACCTTTTCAAAAAAAATAAACCATGAACTTAAAACTTTAACCTTCCATTGGACATTTTCATCAAACTACCGAGTCTCAAGGCATACTGCCTACTTTATTCAATTTGGTTTTTAGTTTTTCTTCATTGCAAACCAAGTTTGGTGAGATTTTAATTTGTAATAGTACTGTCATAGCTTGTCAAAAATGGAAAGGTTTGTCATGTCTTCACAATTTCAATCAATTGTTTTTTCACTTTATAAAGCTTTAAAGTACCTCAGCCTGAGTCAGCAGTCACCATATCTCGCATAGCTCGAGATGATGAAGTGAAACCACAATCAAAACCAAAAAAATTAGTTTATAAAAACTTATCATTGAAAACTAGTGTCAGAAATTTTTAGTGGGGTCTTAGCACTCCATACTCCATAGCAATGAAAACAAACCAGTAAATCTTGCTTCATGAATAAAAGACAAAGATCTTCATCAGTTTATGTCGAACTAATTCTTACTAGATAACCTGCTTTAATCTCCTCTGGAAGATTTAGGATCTAATATCCAGGAAATGATTTCTTCTTTAAATGATTTAACGATTTTGTTCAGTAGATTAACACAACCCACTACAATACCTTCTCCCCATCTAAAAAAAACTCAGGGCACATTCAACATGCTGTATCTAAATCTAGTATTAACTTGAAAAACAAGCAAATTCATTAGAAATTAGTTAACAAACAAACTAAACTAAGGAAACAAACACAGCACTTGCATTCCGTTCAAATGAAGAACCAATTTTTACTTATAAAATGGTTTTTAACGTTTTAACATTAGAAAAATAAAAAACAGTGATAGTCAGAAGAGCTTAAAACTAATTTGCAACCTTTCATAATGTGAACTGTTCTAACTAAATAGTCGAATTTCACCAAAATTATTTTTTAACTATAATTTCTTAGGTATGTGCCCATGGAACCTCACAAATATGATATAATAATAATCTTATGAGGAAAAAAATGTAATAATGGAATTCTTAAACTGGATGAAATAATCTTGATGCATTCTTTAACTCAGGCCTGCGGCCTTCGTTAAAGAATACATCAAGATTATTTCATCTCGTTTAAGAATTTCCATTATTACATTTTTTTCCTCATAAGATTATCATATTCTAATTTATCTATTCCCAAGATCCTCTAAGCCAATTTTTATTTTAAAATAAGGGTAAACTTTCCTTTGCATCAGTTTTTCTAAGAAAGACACCACTGATGAACTTTGTGTTAAAGTAAGGTATATCTGGTCTTCAAGCAATGCTATTATATTATAAGATAAGGATGACTGGCTGATTCCCTAAACATGTAAATATTTTACAATTCACACCTTAATATAATTCCATTTAGAGCATTCTCATCGAGGAATAATGGTTGACTGCTATGATGTCACCATATTTCCTGCTGAGTCTATTAAGAATACAGTCAGCAAGAAGGCAAAGCTGAAAAAAGCTCGGCAAGAGCTTTTGGACATTGACAACAATTACACCGCATGCTTTACTGATTTGGAAGGTAAAAGCAATGTTTAAGCAATTACCTAATCTACAAGTACATAACAACTTTGATAAACAATATTATCAGAGCTGAAAACTTTAGAATGGGATATCCTTCACGGGCAACCGAAGTACACTTGAATTACCGAGCTGGGTCAACCTTTCCGGTCTTAGTTTGTACTGTACCGCCTGGCAGGGGTCAACAAAGTTGGTCTAGCACTGTGTACAGGACTAGCTGGGGCAACGAGGTTGACGCGGTCAGACTTTACACTTCTATAGGTTAAATTTACTTTTATTACAGCGACAGATCTGTGTGCCTTAATCCTGATCAGTTAATTAATCTGGAGATTAATGACAAGAGGAGAACAAGCAATATTTAATCTGGAGATTAAGAAAAAGAGGAGATCAAGCGTTAATCACGATATCCACCATTCTAAAGTTTTCAGCTCTGATCTCTTGCTAGCTCTTCTTAGATTTAGCTCTTGATATATATATAAGAAGAACAAGTAAAATACTTATCAAACTGTCCAAGTCATATAATTGGAAAATTGATATGTTTGGTCTAATTGTTGGATCTCACTGCAGGGAGGGAGGGAGTCCAGAGTTCCTCAAATAGTAATCACCGCCACCCAAATCTGTTTTGTGTCAAGCGCGCTCCTCAATTGGTAATCTCCACCACCTCAAATAGTAATCAGCCCAAAAAAGCATAAAATTAAATCGTTTATTTCTTAGAAATAAGACCATATTGACCTCTTTTAATGGCCCTATGTATTTGAGGAACTCTGGACTCCCTCCCTCCTGCAGGTCATGTGTTAGTATAACCACAGGGAATAATAAAACATGTAGTAATTTTATACAAATTGAACATTATTTAGGTGGTAGAACAGAATACATTGTAACGATCGCCTGTGTGATTGGCAGGTCTAGAATGAAAGGTGAAAGAATCGTCACAAATCTTTTACCTTTTGGACCAGTCAAACCAAGGTGCTTTAGATTTAATTTCTCTGTTAAATTAATTAATAATCATTATCCAGCACTATATTAAGGAATGGAATGTGTAAAAGTACAGAGACTCATGAAGTGGAGATATCATGGGAAACACCAAAAGGAGACTTTACCAAATATGTTCTTATAGGTAAACTTTATGCTGACATTTTTTTTGTTTTAAATAAAGTTAGGGTTTCCAATGCGAGTGGATTTTACGTGTGGGCAATTACGGGTCGCACGTCCTTTCCTCCTGCGCAATTCCACATAATTTTGCACAATTCCAGGCAATTCCGCACAATTCTACACAATTCTGTGCAACAGAATTCTAATTGGAAGCCCTAATTTAAAGGGACTGTAAAGGAAAAATGAAAGGGGGTATAGGATAAAACCTGAGAACCTCAGGCATTGAACGATATATATAAGACATCTATCTAATGTTCCTTTCTCGAGAAAATGATATAAAACTGTGTTAAAATTATATTAAAATCTATATATATGAAATTTTGTAAAAAAGTTGTAGGTTTTAACAGATCATATTCAGCAAATACGCAAACAATCTGAAAACGTTTATATCTCACAGAAACATGATAATTTCAGGTTTGCTCCCATTATAATTTTTAAATTTTTATTTTGGCTTCTGAATAGATATAATTGATAATATTATTTATAAGTCCGTTTTACGTCACAATAACTCCCGCAAATGAGAGTGCAGTATACTGGTCACTTTGATACAGACGGAAATCAAGTGACCAGTATACTGCACTGCCATTAGCTGAAGTTCTGGTGACGTAATACGGACTATGTGGACTATATGTAATAATATTATCAATTATATCTATTAAAAATGAAAAATAAAAGTAAAATAATTATAACATAAGCAAACCTTAGATTTTCAGGTTCCTGTGGGTTATCGTCGTTTTCAGATTGGTTTCGTATTTGTTGAATATGATCTGTTTAATACTGCAACTTTTATACAAAATTGCATATATATTAATTTTCGTATAAATTTGACACAGTTTTATATCAATTTCTGAAGACAGGAACATCAAATAAATGTCTTATATGTATTGTTCAACACCTGAGATTCTTAGGTTTCAACCTATACCCCCTTTCATTTTTCCTTTACAGTCCCTTTAAGTATAAGATATAAATAGATTGGTTATTACAAAGCAAAGGCATCAAAAATTGATGTTTAAAGTTGATCCTATTCTGGATGCTGCTAAACCAGATGGAAGAGAAGGAAAACTGCAATCTTCAAGTGGAATAAGATTTAATGATAGGTTGGTAGCAAAATATCTAAATATAAAGTTCCAAGTGGAATAAGATTTAATGATAGATTGGTAGCAAAATATCTAATTATAAAGTCTCCAAGTGGAATAAGATTTAATGATAGGTTTGAAGCAAAATATCTAATTATAAAGTCTCCAAGTGGAATAAGATTTAATGATTGGTTGGTAGCAAAATATCTAATTATAACGGATTTGAGTAATTTCTTTAAAAAGACCCTTTTATATGTTAAAGTCTTCTTTTGTAGATTTAATAATCTCTTTGAAAAACTACGGGCAGTTTTGAATATCAACAAAAATTTCTTGCTTACAACAAATGCTTATAATTATTTACCAACGTAAAAACATATGAATATTACTGCCAGCTTCTAATCGGTTCAAAACAGTTATTTAAACAGAGCAAATACGCTTCTTGAATATATATGAGGGAGTGACCGGCTATGTAAGGTAATTGAACTGAGTATGCAGTGTTGTCGAAAACTTATTTAGGATTCATTTGAGACATATTTCACTTTTTAAAGATCTGTAAATCCTGAGTTTGAGCGCAAATTCGACGTTCAAAACTCCTGATTTGGGGGTGGATACGCTTTCAGAATTAGTTTTTTTTTAAATTATTAAATAACGACAACGAAAGATAAAGTAAAAATTATACAGTAATCTAATTAGATGGCTAGGAACATATTTCACATAAGAAATTTGTCAATAAATCAATGCTAAAATCGATTATTTCGTTTTTATTATTATATTGAATTTCTAATTTTCTTTGAATTTATCGCAGATTTTTTCAAATTCTTTACATGTCATCTTTTCAATAATAATTCTAGAAAATCTGCGAACATCTTTGTGAATAACGAGAAACTAGAATAATGAGATAATAGAAACTAATAATTGAACAAGATTACTTATTTTCGATGATAAGATTAATTTTTATTTTCTCAAAATGTTCCTAATCATGACGTCTGTAGTTGATTGTAGAATATTTTTACATTTTATGTCGTCGTTAATTAATAATTTTAAAAAAACTAGTTCTGAAAGCGTATCCACCCCCAAATCAGGAGTTATGAACGTCGAATTTGCGCTCAAACTCAGGATTTACAGACTTTTAAAAAGTGAAATATGTCTCAAATGAATCCTAAAGAAGTTTTCCACAACACTGCGTCCTCAGTTCAACTACCTTACATAGCCGGTCACTCCCTTTAAGAATTGCTACTTTTCCAGAGAATCTGTAGATATGGACTTGAATCCAAGCCTCATGCCAAATGTAAGTTACCAAAATAAAACTTATTTGGCAAGTGTTTAATCAATATTAATTTATTTTGAAACAATCAATTGTGATTTAGGGTCTGCAAGAGATAGAAATTAGCAGCAAAGCTACTTGTTTTTCCTTAACAAATCTTTCTCCCGGAGAGGCTTACAAAATAGAATTGAAAACCAAGGTGAATTGGATCCCTAAAATATTCACATTTTTTCATAGAAATATGCACTCTGAACTGAAAATTTTAAAAAAATCTTTGGAATGGCATCAAAAGTTGGCTGGCTGCCAAACAAGTAAAAACAAATTGTTTATTATCAAAACTCCCTTAAATCTTACAAAATATCACTTAATGAAACATGTTAAAGACCGGGGATAAGGTGACACGAAAACCAATAGCAGAAACAGTTTTAACCAAGCCAGAAACAATATCTTCACTTACAGTGTCTGAAATCAATACAGGTAAAATTCAATTAAGATGTTTTACAATTTACAATTTACAATTTACAATTTACAATACGAAGTAATTTGTTTTGCGACAAGATTAGATTATGCTACCACTCCTATCACAATAGCTACATTTTAGATAATATAACTGTGAGATGGGTTGCTCCAGTAGGTCATTCAAGACTAAAAGCTTATAAGCTCACATGCCAATCAAAGGTAAGACTGTTGTGTAGAAATGAGGGCATTAGTTTTTTCATTTCCTTTGTTCATTGTTTGTAAACGACCCATTTCGTTCGGTTTTTTTAATCATTAAAAAAACTCATTTCCTTTGTTCGTTTCCTCACTGAACAAAATTGTTTATTAACAATCAAGTTCATTCCAACAAGTTTTTTTGTTTGTTTTTAAAAAACAAAAGTTTTTTTCATTACTCTGAACAATCCAAGTCGATCGTCTATCATTTACTAAGAATTTTGTTTGCTATCAAAAGTTTAATTCATTGCCTATCACCTTCTGTTGTGTCAATTAAAAGAGCTATTTGACCATTTGAACTTTAGGATCTTAGTTTCCTGCGAGAACTTTCTGTGAAGCATAGAAGTGAAATTCCAGTAAATTCCTTCAAGTTTGAGAACCTTCCCCCAGCAACTGAATTATCAGTGATTATAAGCAGTGTTTGTGTTATTGATAACCTACAGAGCGCTTCAGAGGAAGCAAAGATTCATTTTATCACTCTACCACTACCACCAAGAAGCCTAGAATTAGAATCAAGGTTAAGAAAATTCAAAGATTGCGCTCACTGGGGACTAGGGTTAATTTTAATCCAAACCGTACTCACCCTTGTACTGGCCTTATAGTGACACGCCAGCTCCGATTCAACTTTGATGGCGCGGCCAGACTTTTTACAGTACCCGGCCTATCATAGGCCTATTCGACCTACCCCACTAGCTTAGTTTAGTGTGCGATGTAAATACCAATACTTAAAACTTTTGATTAGATGAATAGAGCCAAGAATGTAATGCAAGGAAAGTTAATTGCAGTTGCATATACTCTATACGTACATATTGAAACCCTGGGCGGAATTTGTAAACAAGAATAGATGCCTCAGTGTTCGTTTAGTATCCGAGGAGGAAAAAAGCATTGAATTTTGATAATTTTGATAATTCACATAACAGTTTCCTATGACCAGAATAATTCATTTATTATTTATGTGAAAGATGGATCCCATGTCAGGCTTCCACATCCGTCTTGTGTTTAAATTACCGCCCAGAGGCAGTACACTGCAGTACAAAAGATGCGTACACCTCTGAAATAACTTTCCTTGCATTACATCCTTGAATAGAGCGCGCTTCAACATAAAGGTCAAATAAAAAACATTAGTTTTGCACTCACACATTTTTGTTGTTTAACACGGCACAGTTGTACAAGAAATAATTAGCTGTATGAAACGAACTATTCTATGAATGCAGTTGTAAACAAATTAGAACCAAATTATTAATGATATTTAACGACTGTGTTAACTTTAGGTTGACCAACAGTTTTATCGTTAAGTGGGAAGCTCCTAAAGTGACCTTTTCAGCACACAGGTTCAAACTAAGCATCCAGGTATCAAAGGAAGAAAATTGTATTAGACATTTTAAATAACATTTAGGTACACCCCTTAAATACCCGAAATAAAAGCTAGCTATTCTTACAAAAAAATATAGTTTTATGAGATTCTTTTTTTTCCAATCCAAAAATGTGTTTTTTAATTCATTTAAAAAAGTGGGTTTTGTTAACTAACATTAACACGCAGAATTACCTCAAAATTGAACGGATAATACAGGGTTAACCTTAATTAGACTTAATTAGACGTACTTTTTTACTTTAAATAGTTTAATAAACATGAGACACAGCACTTGTGCTGTGTTAACAGTAATTTAGTATCTTACTAGGAAAGCTATTTACTTTGTAACAGCATCAAATGCACTTCGGTCGTCTTCATGTCTACAGTTTTCTGGTTATCACTGTTGTTAAAAAAGTAGTAGCATAATGGGCCTGTACATCCTTTATAATAGTCTTACTAAGCATTCACAGACGTAAGCGGGCCAACTGACCAGCCATATTTATATATAGTTGATTTTTCATAATATGTTTTAATTGTTATGATCTGAGAGTTACTTATAAAAACATTTATTCCTGTTTCGAGGATTTTTGGTAATGAAGACGACATTTTCATATTTTCCAGGAATGTTCGAAAACAAGTTGTAAGCTAAATATTATTTTAAAAAACTAGTATGAAATATCAAATATGTACAAATGTGGCGAAAGATAATCGATGACTATAGGTTGTAATATCTGAATGATTTGTTTGATATTAATTTGATTTTTTTACGGTTTAAGTCATATGTTCCAACTTCCTCAATTTGTATGGGCGCTACACTCTTCGGTATGATACGTCTTTATCAATTTTCTCCTTATAGACGCAAAAGATAGAAGTAAGATTATTAGCGATCAATAGCGCTTTTTTATCGCATTAAGCCTATACCCCCTTTCATTTTTCGCGAACACTCCCTTTAAAGAAGAAAAAACATGAATATCTTATTTATGCTTGATCACACAAAGCTTTTAATTGTGACCGTTCTAAATCGGGAAATGTCTTTTTTTGCATGGAGGGTCACTTGAAATTACGCAAATGTTTTCCTAGTGTACAGAGATTGGGTATAGCAGTGAGCATGAAGTTAATGGGGACAAGAGAACATTCAACTTCTCTAAACTTCCAGATATTATAGGCACAGGTACATAAGCGCTATACAGGGGTGTACACCAGGGGGGGGGGGCAAGGGGGTGACACCCATGAATTCCCTTAGACGTACTGTAAGTGTAATGTCTTCCATGACAATGCCAGATTCACAACTTTACCCTTTATATTAGAATTAGATATTCATGTTTATAATTTGGAAAAGCTGATTAATTACAATTGTGGTTTCTCTACAAAAGTTACTTCCGTTCATCTACTACAGGAAAACATATAGGAATTGTCAGAATTAATCACTTTTAAAACTAGAAAAACGACAATATTTTCCACATTATTGATCAAATAAAGAAAGCATGGGTACCACACTGTAAATTGAGCAATGCCATCTTTCCATGGAGGTTCAATTGAAATTATGTTGCACAATGCAGAGTTCCCCTAAAGAAGTGACAGCTAAGTTTTTTTTTTTATCAGGTTTATCAGGTTAAGCTGACTTGAAAAGTTTGTTTTTCTTATATTCAACAAAATTGTATATACCAAGAGCTGGAAAAAAATATTCATTTTATGGTTCACAGAATTTATAGTTTGAAATATCTAAGGTCCACCACATTGTGCTTTGCTTATTTCAGGAGAATGTTACAAAGTCTGTATTTCCTACATAGTCAACCCTCCAGGTTCAAGTCTAGAGGTCAGTGCAGATTTAAATAACAAATTTAGACGTTTTCAAGATTACAATTTAGAAATTTGATCTATTATTTTTGCTCCAATATGAGTTGATATTGTTTTTTCTCGAAATGACCCCTGAAATAAAAAAGGGGGCATGCCTATTCACAAGGGTGCCCTTCAAACCTGTATCTGATCAATATAGCAAAAGACAACATAGTTTTCATGGCTTGAAAAGTTTGTAATTTTAATAATTTCTCAAATCACTTTGAAATGAAAATCGTTTGTCAAAAATAAAAACATGGATATCCAATTCATGCTTTATATAAGGGTATATCCGGTGTAAACCGGATATGCCACTCCATCACAAAAGGGTTGCTTGAAGTTACAAATACAGTCCCTTAATAAAGAGTGGAAGGAACACAATTATGAATAAATTAATGATTTATAATTAGAATTTACTAGAAATAAAGTTCTATATTTACAGCATATTTGTTTTATATAACTTTGAAATAGTCTTATTATATACGCAGGAGTCAGGAAATTAAATATTATTAAAAATACCTGGAAATTTTCGATTAGATAAAACCAATTTAAACTTAATAAAATACGATATTTGTTGGTTGAAGTATTTATCTAATTCTGTAAAGGTAAATCAACACAGTCCTTCCTAATCATAATTTACTTTAAAGAAATATTTTGCAGAAACGAGTTTTTTGGATTTGCACCTAGTCTATGAATTAAAGACACTATGCTATGTCTTAATTCCTTCTAAGTAAATTTAATTAGGGAGAAGTGTGTGAGAGATCCAACTCTCTAAAAATATGAGATTTTTTAATGTACTGTCGGGGTACTTTTAAGAATGTTAGGTACTTTCCCAAAGACATTTTCCCAAGCGACACTGTCCCAAGGGTATTTTCCCAAGTGGAAACTTCCCAAGAGTATTTTCCCAAGTGGCTACTGGCAACTTCCCAAATGTGCTACCCAAGCGGAAACTAAAAATTAACATTTATTTTAGTAGGAAACATATCCATTGGTTTTATATGCTTGAGGCATTATGAAATATAAATTTCCATGAACGGTTTATATGTAATATGTATCTTTTTATAAAAAATATTAAATCCTATTTAAAAAACATGATAAAATATTTAAAACCATTATAAACAACATGACATGGCTCAAAATTCAAATAAAATAATGTGAAGTACTTAAAGGAAAAAATGTAAACAATGCCAAACGAATAAAAGGTGTGGTCAGACCAAAATAATGGTGAATTGTGACGTCAGTTGTGGTTGGATGAAAAAGGTGTGGAGTGCCTTCCCACCCTCGCACGAAAGATATTTCTATCTTTAGGTTGAATCGTCCATAGTTTGTGAAAACTTCTACACTAAACCCCTTCCTCCAACTCAATTAATCCTTGGACCAGGAAACCTCATCACTTGGACTAATTCACCTTCAAAATATGTTAGGTAAGCATTTAGGAGCACATACAAAACATATATTATCACAAAACATATATTATCACAAAACATATATTATCACAAAACATATATTATCACAAAACATATATCATCCATCCATCTTTCACATAAATAATCAATGAAATATTCTGGTTACAGGAAACTATTATAAGAATTATAAAGATTATCAAAATTTAATGCTTTTAACCTACTCGGATACTAAACGAACACTGAGGCATCTATTCTTGTTTACAAATTCCAGAGATCGTAGTGCATACACATTTACTCGTACCAACCCGTCAAATACACCCAGTGTGTTTTATGTGAAACATGTAGAATGTAAAGATACATAGAGGCCGTAGACAGTACAACAAATGAATCATTCCCTTCTAGTATGCACTGTAGATTAATTGATATGAAATATATTTAGTTTGTATAAGTTGAAGTATAAGATTATGTAGATTAATTGATATATGATATATGTTTAGTTTGTATAAGTTGAAGTATAAGAGTATGGATGAAGAAGGAAGATCTGAAGAGATCTTTGTTCCAGTAAAGCCTGGAGAAGAAACATCCTCTACAATACTAAACGTAAGACCTCGGAGCTAAGATGTTAAAAGCTTTAATCCAAGTAAACCCCAGTCTGTAAAATCAGCATAATATGAAACGAATGTTTCTACCTTGTCACAGCTGATCTGTCTGCTATGAAAATAAAGCTTTCTAAGTAGTCTCTCATTGGTCAAATCAGAACCAATCAAGGACTCGGGTTTTACTTAAGCTTGAGTCTCTGAATAAGCCGGGATTTACTCGAGTTAAAGCTTTTAAAATCCTAGCTCTGGAGACAAAACAAAGCTATGTCATAAAATTTCAAGATTTGAAATTTTTGTCATCCAAACATCTTTGCAGTTCACATAAAAGGGAAAATAAAAAAATAAAGATCCATAATAGCGGTCGAGAGAATTTGTTACCATACATTTGATGTTTAAATAATATTTAGACACACTATTTAAGATAAATAATATTCAGAACAAAATATTTGATACACCCTAAAATATTTAAATTATTTAGTCCCTGATATTTGGGACACCCCTACGAGATATATAATATTTAGACCCTGATATTTGGATCACCCTACAAGATATATAATATTCAGACCTTGATATTTGGAACACCCTACAAGATATATAATATTAAGACCTTGATATTTGGAACACCCTACAAGATATATAATATTTAGACCCTGATATTTGGAACACCCTACAAGATATATAATATTTAAACCATGATATTTGGAACACCCTACAAGATATATAATATTTAGACCCTGATATTTGGAACACCCTACAAGATATATAATATTTAAACCATGATATTTGGAACACCCTACAAGATATATAATATTTAGACCTTGATATTTGGAACACCCTACAAGATATATAATATTTATACCCTGATATTTGGAACACCCTACAAGATATATAATATTTAGACCCTGATATTTGGAACACCCTACAAGATATATAATATTTAAACCTTGATATTTGGAACACCCTACAAGATATATAATATTTAGACCTTGATATTTGGAACACTCTACAAGATATATAATATTTAGACCCTGATATTTGGAACACCATACAAGATATATAATATTTAGACCCTGATATTTGGAACACCCTACAAGATATATAATCTTTAGACCCTGATATTTGGAACACCCTACAAGATATATAATATTTAGACCCTAATATTTGGAACACTCTACGAGATATATAATATTTAGACCCTGATATTTGAAACACCCTACAAGATCAATATCTATGGTCTACTGGAGACTAGTGATCAAGAGAACCTAGAGAGTAAAGAACTTCATGAAAAAATCCTACAGGTTAAATCTGAAATGATCTTTAATAATGACTAGTCCGTTTGAAAACACTCGATTTTTAAAGAAAACAAAATCTACATATTTTTAGCCTATGTTATCACCAGGCTACCCATGGATTCCTTCAAAAAAATGTAATCCAATTTGGTCATGCCGTTTGGCCAGTTAAAGCTAACATACAAGTGATGTGATTGAAGAACAGTTATATAGATAGAAATCGACAATATCTAAAATTGCTCATTTTTTCAACAGAAAAAAAACTCCTTAAATCTTATGAAAATGTTTTTTTATTTTTTTTGTAATAGACTGACTCTGGACTGGTTGTGTATGATGATGACGTAGAAAGACTGGGAGCAAGTTAAATGGAAATGTTTGGTTAATTACATCAAGTTGTCTACAAAATGTACAATTTGGCGAATATATTATAAATATGTAAGATATTTAGAAAATTTTTGTATTATTAATAATTTGAAAGATATACTTGTTAGAATTTTTTTTTTGCAATATCTATACAAAGAGTTATTAAAGAAGATTGCTATGGAACTGTGGGAACCATACAAGACCTTGGAAAAGGAAGACGACATTTAAGTAATTTACGTCTATTAGACGCTGTGGCAAATACAGAGTGTCCCACATCATATTAAATCGTTTACAGCTCTTATTTAAGATTTATGGGACAAATCAGAAGATTTAATAAGATTGGAAACATTTTAAAAATTGTTAAGGCTAAGTAAAAAAATTGCATTCAGGAAATACTAGTATTTTGGCTTTTAAGCTTGGTGATAATACGTTATGATATGGGTCGCTCTGTAGTTTAACCAGCAGTTGGAAAAAAATATCAAGCTGAATTACACAATTGCTGTGTTTCATGTCTATTTGAGTAATAAAAATCATGACAATTGAGTCTAAAGCTCGTCTGCCTATTCCATAGTTTCATGAGTCCCACCGCATTAGATTTGTTGCGATTATAAAAAATAATTTTTTTAGGATTTTAAATTTTAGTGTAATTTATTATGCTTATTCTTGTTCTGCACCCACACTCTGAGATGCAGGTCATTATTCTTCATTACTGGTAGTCCTGGAGTCCTGGGTTGGGAGAAATCAACAGAATGGATTTTATTTCAATATTGTAGTTATTTATGTTAGATATTTATTTTATTCCTACATTTGTTTCATTTACTAGATATTCAAAATTCATTGAAAGGCCTCATAATTGATTCTTTTACTTTCAGATACTTTATATATTGATTTCGATATCTGATTCTGATATAGACCAGTTATCATATCAATATCAAATCTGATAAATCTACTGAGGAAGCTTCAGTATTCTCTATTTATATTGTCAGAGAAAGAAACTATGACCTTCACAGTAGTTAGAGAATTAGCTGCATTGGTCCTAAAATCCAAACCAACTTTGAAACCTTGGTAAGCCGTTACCGTTAACTGCGGCACATTTCTAACAAAAACTGTAGTGTTTAGGAAGAACTAAAACATATTTAAAACAAAAAGGAGTATAGTTCTCATTATTAGAAGACTTAAGATTGATTGATTGATTGATGGATACGTTCGTATTCTGCAATAATATTATCAATCAAAGCTGGATTTTGCCACGGGTCGATGAGAAGAAAACCATGACAAAGATGTGGCAAAATACAGGAGTAAAGAACCAGGAAACTTTCCCTTTCCACCTGATACTTAAGCACAATTCTGATATTTTTAAATATATTTTAACTTTTAAGGTTTTCACTGAATTGGGCAAAATATATTTTATCCAATATTTTATATTATTATATTTTTATATTTTTATATTTTATCCTAATATTTCCCGTTGTAATAAAAGTATAAAAATATTTTCATTTTGATCTTAAACAAACTAGAAAAAGTAAAAATCCCGGCATAAACTTTTTCGCACTTAATAATACCCATTACAATGACATAATTAGATATTTAATCCTTGGTATGGTGAAAATATGATGCTTTGAAAAACTGAGAAATTGGACATATAAAAGTAAGATTTATTTATTCTTTTGATACTTTTTACACAAAAAGTAATGTTTCTTCCTAAAAAATATTTAATTTCCGCTGTGAAGCGAATAAAACCTTAAACAAAACAAGAAAGTGACCCAACATGACATTTAGGTGGAAAAAATGGGGGTAGGGTTTAATTATTCAGGACAACGTACACCCCCGCCCCAAGAACACAAGGACAATGCTGATAGAATATAACATAGCAGTATTTTAAACACAATTTATTACTTGAATTTGCTAGTTGACAAAAAAAAAATAGACAATATTATTGACTTTGCTAGTTGCACGTTTTAAAATAGACAATATCATTAAATGTTCTAGTCGCAACATAATAAATTAGACAAAATTATTGAATTTGCTAGTTGCACATTTTAAAATAGACAATATTATTGATTTTGCTAGTTGCACATTTTAAAATAGACAATATCATTGAATTTGCTAATTGCAGTATAAAAATAAAATATCATTGATTTTGCTGTTGCACAACATAACTTAAAAAGGCTTTTAATATTAAATGATTTTTTAATTAAGATTTGAAAATCTAAAAAAATATTTCTGAACATAAAAACAGTTATGTTAAGGTTCTAATGGATTAAATATGAAGATAAGGTTTATCATTGAGGTCAGAATCTCTTCTAGGGCAGCTTGCTACTAGACCTAAACAATAAAATTTAAAAGATTGTAAAAACAACATTTTTAAAAACGCCTTATTGAATAAGACAAGTTTAAATAAGATTTGTTTTTAAGGTGAGTTTGTGCAAGGCAAAAACTGAGACGATGTTTTTAACGTAATTTCAAGAGGGAATGTAGAATTCACAACGGTAGTCCTTAAACCTTTGTCTGATCTGGAAAGGATGATGTGCTTCAGCTTAAACAATTCGTTAAAATTAAACAGTTCACAAACTAAATAAATTCCTCTTGGTCCCCTTAAAAGCTTTTTCTGCTCAAGAATGACTGAGGTGATCTCTTTAAAAATTCATTAATTTCAACTCTGGGTTCTCTACAAAATTTACTTGCGTATTTATGCTGCAGGAACGATATGGAGAAACTTTTTATGATTAGAACTTTGCTAGATTTAATAGAAATATTGTCCTTAGTATTGATCAGATAAAGATTATAGGGTACCATTGTAAAACAGATACAGGTATCTTTGGTCTATATATCCACAAACCATATATAAGGTTTTAAATTGTATAGTCTTTGGCACAACATCGAAATCTTCCAGTAACTAACAAATACATAGAGCGTGGAATATATAATATAGATATATTTGATCCACAACGCTTACAAGTCCCCTGGTATCGGATTCAGATCTACAAAATATGCGAATTCGTGGATTTGGATACAAGTGGCCAAATTTAAACCATTACGTCAAAAAAGTGGATCAAGTTTCCGCAAAAAAATGTGTGAGAAAAAAAAAATAACTGTTGGTATACGAAACTTACGGATCCGGATTCATTTTTTACAGGACGGGTCCAGGAACCGGATCTTGACTATAATTTTTATTTTTATTTTACCTCTTACTCTGTCTAGTACTAGGAGAGGAGGTGGATGAATCAGATTCCGACCCAACCTTCCCTGTCTTGGCTGGTTTAGCACGTAGAGAAGGACTGTTATTTCTACTATCAGCAGCACTGCGTTTCAGCGCGCTTCCGCTCTTACCAACTTCCGGTGCAGCACGTGGCGCAGTTCTAGTCTTCTTGGAGGAAGATTCGGCGACGGATTTGGGTGTGTTCACGCTTGGTTTCAGAGGTTTAATTCCGTCCAGGACGGATTTAGTTTTCTTTTTTCCCGGCAGAGGACTGAGAAGAACGTCGAATTTTTTGGTGATAGCCTTTCTTAAACTTACTGGAGAGTCAGGGACGATTTCATTTCCAGTTCTAAAATTAATTTCTTTAACCAAAAGTAATTAAATATTGTTGATCGGTTTAATAAATTCCCAAAGAATGAAAAAAAGGCAGCTGTTTTTCAAGATGGAGTGTAAAATAGCATAAAAAATATCTAAAATAGTTAACCTGTAATCAATCCTGGGACTATTTCTGCTCCCAGATCTAGAGACTCCTGGACTACCAGGAACCAAGGGTCGACCTCTGATCACCTTCTCCGGGGTCTCTGGAACCTTGTCTCCTATGGAACTCACACTAGACGACTCCGAGGTCACAGGTTTCCGACCTTTTCCTGAGCCTCTGGAGGATGCACGGCTAGGGGTATCCTCGACAATCTTCCTTAAACCTCTTCTATGGAGTATTGTTGGGGTGGAAAGTTCTGTGTCAGTCTCAGCATCAGCACTGGAAGCCTCAGATTCTAAAAAAATTACTGTAGACATAACTCTAAGCAATAGATTTTCATGGCATTTAACTGAGGTTCCATTAAGTTTAAACCTTGTCAGGACAACAAATTTTGCGAGTTATTTCAGGTTTTCAATCTGAAAATGGATTATTTTCTATTGTGGCCTACACGGATTTATGCTTCAAAAACAGTGAAGAAAATCGGAAAGAAAAACTTTCACTTTACTGTTGAAATTTAGGGTTAAAGAACAAATGTTATGAATCAGAAATACATCTTTATTAATGAAGGGTCACTTAATTTACGACTTAATTTTTAAACTTTTTTCGTGTTTCATTCCCCTTCTATGTTTATTGGGTTTCCCCAAAAATCCAGGCATAAAATATTAACTGCAGTTAGAAAAATAAGGGGGTACATATTTTCTTGAAAACCCACTTCCCCAGATATTCCTTTTTGAAAATAATGCCCCCATCCCTTCCCTGGATGTCATATATGGTTATGCACATTGAATATCTTGTTTATTACCAACTTCCGCTGTAGCACGTGGCGCAGTTCTAGTCTTCTTGGAGGAAGATTCGGCGACGGATTTGGGTGTGTTCACGCTTGGTTTCAGAGGTTTATTTCCGTCCAGGACGGATTTAGTTTTCTTCTTTCCCGGCAGAGGACTGAGAAGAACGTCGCATTTTTTGGTGGTAGCCTTTCTTAAACTTACTGGAGAGTCAGGGACGATTTCATTTCCAGTTCTAAAATAATCCAATTAATTTCTTTAACCAAAAGTAATTAAATATTGTTGATCAGTTTAATAAATTCCCTAAGAATGAAAAAAAAAAGACTTTAGTCTTCCATTGGGCAGCTGTTTTTCAAGATGGTGTAAAATAGCATAAAAAATATCTAAAATAGTTAACCTGTAATCAATCCTGGGACTATTTCTCCTCCCAGATCTAGAGACTCCTGGACTACCAGGAACCAAGGGTCGACCTCTGATCACCTTCTCCGGGGTCTCTGGAACCTTGTGTCCTATGGAACTCATACTAGACGACTCCGAGGTCACAGGTTTCCGACCTTTTCCTGAGCCTCTGGAGGATACAGGGCTAGGGGTATCCTCGACAATCTTCCTTAAACCTCTTCTATGGAGTATTGTTGGGGTGGAGAGTTCTGTGTCAGTCTCAGCATCAGCACTGGAAGCCTCAGATTCTAAAAAAATTACTGTAGACATAACTCTCAGCAATAGATTTTCATGAGATTTAACTGAGGTTCCATTCAGTTTAAACCTTGTCAGGACAACAAATATTGCGAGTTGTTTCAGGTTTTCAATCTGAAAATGGATTATTTTCTAATGTGGCCTACACGGATTTATGCTTCAAAAACAGTGAAGGAAATCAGAAAGAAAAACTTCCACTTTGCTGTTGAAATTTAGGGTTAAAGAAAAATTGTTATGAATCAGAAATACATCTTTATTAATGAAGGGTCACTTAATTTACTACTAAATTTTTAAATCTTTTTCGTGTTTCATTCCATTTCTATGTTTATTGGGTTTCCCCAAAAATCCAGACATCAAAATATTAACAGCAGTTAGAAAAATAAGGGGATAAATATTTTCTTGAAAACCCACTTCCCCAGATATTCCTTTTTGAGAATAATACCCCCATCCCTTCCCTGGATGTCATGTATGGTTGTGCACATTGAACATCTTGTTTTGTTTTTGTTGTTGCAGATTTTGAGGAAAATAATGATAATGTCCTTTTTTGATCATTACCTGTAGTTTCAGGAGTAGGGGGAACAATCCGAACCCGTTCCTCCTCTTCCTCTTCCTCTTCCTCTTCCTCTTCCGACTCCTCTTCCGACTCCTTCTCCTTCTCCTGTTCAGAATCTTGCTCCATGTCCTCCTCCTAAATATTTTTAATTATTATTTTATGAAACTACCATTATATTTGTTCGCAGTGCTTTATAAAGTTGTAGCCCTTAGAATTCTCATCTCGAAGGTTCTCTAGCTTTTTTGGATTAGATTTTGTCCCTCACAATAGCTTGGAAGAGAATATTATCTGAGCTGGGAACTTTAGAATGGATAAACTTTAATCCTGACTTCTTGATCCGAATATCCACTGTGGAAACTTTTCATTTTAGTCCTAATCCACTCTTTTTCTCTCTCCTTGGATATCCGTTAATTGTTTTCTCCAATGAGAATATTTCTGTTCTCTCATTGGTTGCCCGCTTTTCTCTGATTGGCTGCTACAGTTTCTCAGATGATTAAATATTAATTTGAATTTTATCGTTTTTCATACACTTTTAAGATAATCTTGCAAGATTATGTTAATCTGGAGATTAAGAAAAAGAGTGGATTAAGCCTTAATCTCGATATCCAACATTCAAAAGTTCCCAGCTCTGAACAGGCTTATAACTACTGTCCAACAACTTCGAACCATTAAAAGAGTGTTATAAAAAGTTATTACAAAAAATTACACAGCAAAACTAGAACTGCTGTCAGCCTAAAGCCATTCTTAATATTGATCATAAAATATTTTAACTTCCAGAGACTGTGAGTGTAATTTCAAGTAACTCTTAATACAAAGATGGCAATGCCCGATTCACAACAGTGTTATTAAACATTTTTCCATATCAAGCTCGAATTAAATATCAATGTATGATTTTGAAAACTAATTTTTTTCAATTGTGGTTTCTCTACAAAAGGGACTTGCACACTACTACCGCAGGAAAATAAATAGAAATTAAAATACTTTTGAAACAAAAAAAATGCATTATCTTCCACATTATTGATCAAATAAAGGTTTCAACTTTCAAGGGTTCTATGTTAATATGGCGGTGCCATCTTTGCATAGAGGGTCACTTAAAATGACGCTTACCGCAGGAAAACAAATAGAAAATAAACACTTATGAAACTAAAAACGACAATATAAAATATAAATATTATTGATCAGATAAAGGTTTCAAGGGTTCCATTGTAAATCGGACATTGCCATCTTTGCATGGAGGGTCACTTGAAATTACGCTTACAGTCCCTTTAAGTATAAATGTGTTTATTTTAATATAATCTAATGAATATACCTGTAAAGTGGAAGATGCTTTATCCTGCTCTGCAGTTTTCAAACTCAATGACTCCGCCTGGGCTGTGGCGGAATCAAGTCTCTTCTCAAATTCTGCTGTGGAGTTGTTCCCCAGTTCCTTGTTGGATCTAACCACAGGACTTGGAATCTTCCGTGGACTGATTTCCCCCGCAGCATTGAGCACCGCAAACTCATGGGGTTGTTCCACATCCAGCAGTGGATTGCCTAGCACAGATTGGGAGAACAGGATCCTTTTCTTTTTACCCGGGGTGGCAAAAGTCTCATCAGTTGATGTCTCCGATTCGTCAATAAGACGTTTTTCCACTGGAAGATCTCCAGATTTAGAGGGATCTCTGGCCAACCACTCCTCAAGTGATTTATCAAACTTCTCCAAGGATTTACGGCAGAGCTTTTCCTTCACATGTTTAAGCAACTGTTCGGATAGTACTTTCAGTTCGCGTAACCCTACAAAGTTGTTGTGTGTGATCTGCAGGTTGGAGAGGATCTTGATCAAGATCTTGGTCTGCAGGCTGTCAGGGGAGGAGAGGATCTCATTACATACTGCAAAAGCAAGTGCATCGTGTACACTGGATACAGTGCTCTCACCCTCCACATCCTTGCGCTGAGGTTCATAGTTCTGAAGGAGATCTTCTCGGGTTAGATGAACAAAGAACATACCAACATCTTCGGTATCAATATCAGCTAAAGGAGATGTTACCGGTGCATCAAACAACACCTTCATAGTGGGTATGAAGGCAGACTCCAAAGCCATCTGGTTTGTCTTGTTCATTGATGCATACAATGGGAAAAATGTGCCAAGAATGTGGCGCAGTTTAGAATCTGATTCAGTCATAGGATTATACCACATGAGGAGGAGTCGAGAGAGAAGTTTTGGGGATGAGATGGAACCAATCATGAGCAGTTTGCAAAGACCCTCAGCTACCTCAGTCCTCAGCTCCATGTCAGGTTCATCCAACATCTTTGAGAGGATTGCTACAACGGAGTTTCCACCCTGAGTATTCAACTCATTCTGAGTAAGCTCTGATCCACGGGTCGCCATGTCACTTTCTAGTGCAGTATCAATGCTACTACTAGTCTCACTTAGTTCACCCTCAGTTCCAGATAAATCAGCAGCAGCCGGTGCTGCTGTGGTGATGAATGACCCCATTCCATGCATCATAAGGAGGTCAATGACAGCAGTAATGGCAGCAATTCTGACCTCAGGTCTGTCAACATGTGCAGCCTGAAGAAACAACAGCATGTGGCAACGAGCATTTTCTATAGATCTGAGACAAAAGCAGTTAAGAGCAAGAATAGCCTCCTTCCTAATACTCACACTCTGGTTCTGAACAGCTACTACAACCACCTCCTCTAGCAGGGTGAACAGGGTGGCGTTAAGCTGAGTGATGCTTGGATCCTGTAGGGTGGCGACCAGCAACTTCAAGCACTTCATTGTTATTTCCGGGTCTTCTGGCTCCGTTCCAACTATTGCTGGAGTTTCAACTACAGTTTCAACATGGATAACCCGACCCTTCTCTGTCTCGATTTCCTGCTCCAACTGAACCCGTTTAGCTTCTAGTTCAGTAAGCCTCTGCTTAATCTGCTGGGCAGAGATAAAATCCTGGCTAGCGATGGCAGTAGCTAACTCATCCTTACTGGTACTTAACTCTACCATTACCTTAGCAATCTCCATCTGCAAGCTACGGATCAGCTTGTGATCAATATTCTCAACAGTGTCCATGTTGCTGTCCATGGTTTTAAAGGAGTCCTTTGCCATCGGTTCCTTGATCTCGGAGATAATCTCGGCAATCTGCTCAATTCTAGCCTGAGTGTTCTTCTCCACCTTCTTGAAGATGTAGACCAGCTGTGGGATTAGGGTTGGGGATATTTTGGTAGAGATGAGCAGATCCTTCAATAGTTTGGCCAGGTTCCTCCTTCCAACCTCATCACCTAGATCGTAGAAGGAGCAGATGATGATCAGCTCCTTAGCGATGAACTCCCAGTTTAGGTCGTCATCCTGCCATCACAAACCATACAGTTACACTTCTGTTTACTTTTAAAATTTAATTTGAATCCACAAAAACCAATTTTGACGAGGAATATTGCTGAAATTAAGTTGCTTGAGTCAGCTCAGTAACTTTTTGCCTATTCACATTTTGTATTGATAATATTTGTCCTGCTCAGATTTCCCTATTGACATTATAGTTACATGAAGTAACCCAGACAAAATTTTATTGAGCCAGAAAAAAAGTGGAATAAATTAATTAATAAGATCGATTCACTTCCGTGAGAAAATGAAGAAAATGAAGGAAATAGTAAGACTTTAATATACACTCAAGAGGATGGCTCTTATGTATGTTGTATAAGAGCAAATCTTTCTATATTTGAAACAAGAATTTAAATTGCATAGCTTATGCTTAGTATATAGTTTGAACTCCATCTGTTTGGACCTAAAGCGAAGTAGATTGATTTCATTTCTACTGTTATTTACAATACTTAAGTTCCGCTCTTAATAAAAGTTAAACTGATTGGTTTCTTTCCTCTGGAGTAAGAGAGAGAATAAAGTTCCGAACATAATCGCAGAATGGAGATAGTTCTGGACGTAATGTATCAAGGGACTCTTCATTGTCATCCTGAACAAAAATAGAACTTTATTATGTGTACACAATACGGATTAAGGGGTATTTATTTTCAAGTAACAACAATCTGAGGAAGGTTGCTTGCTGATTTCTGTAAAAATGAAAAAATTCAAAGTGAATAATAGTTGAAAATATTTTTTACTTTATTTATTATTCAATATTTCTAAAAATTATGATAATGCACAACAATTATTACCTTCTTAGACATGTATTGGATTAAAACACGCCAGTATAGAGCTGTCTCAGGGGTCAGCTTGGCTTTGGGGATCAACTTGTTGGTGTCCAGGTACTAAACATATTGATTAATCAAGAGATTATTCATCGGCTTGAAAATACAAAAAATGTCCATTTTTGTAAATGATCAAACCATTCAAAAATGTTTCTGATTGAAATTGGTGAATACTATGCATTCAGGACAAACCCATAAACATTAAGCACCCAGAAACAGATAAACAGAAAATGGTGCAGATATTTGAATACTCAAATTAATTAACTATAAATATAATTTTAAAAAAAACCTGTCAGGGATGTTTATTTTCTCGAAAAATCGTTTCCTCCAACATTTCAACATTTTTAAAAATATACACCCCTGCAACCCATAACAATAGTTGCAGAGCATACCCAATTAATAACGATACCCCGTTCCGTACCCCTTCATGTTTATCTATAAACAATGAATAAGATATTGTAGTTTTTAAATCTGACAATGCATTTTTTTTTGTTTCTTCTGCATTACTCCGCATTTTAAATCTAACAAATTAAACAAAATTGGATATTATCAATTTTCAGACAAAAAACAAGGATTTCTTTATCATTTAAGCCAAAACAACAGTTTACACATTGACCGAATTCAGAGTTTAACCTGAGTGCTTAGGACCTGTTCCAAAATGAAATGGAACTTGTATAAGTAGAGTATAATCTGACCTGGAAGTTAGCTACGAGGTCGCTGTAAGGATGATCTGCAAAGAGTACCTCTAGTGCACCAGCAGGGGCAGATATTTGCTGACCAGCCTAATCAATCAATCAATCAATCAATCAACGATGAATGAATGAATGAATTAATGAGAATCAATGAATGAATCAATGAATGAATGAATGAATTAATGATTGAAAGGATGAATTAATGAATGAATAAATGAATCAATAAATCAATCAATGAATCAATCATTAAATCAGTCAATCAATAAATTATTCAACAAATCAATGAGTGAAGGGATGAATGAAAGGATGAATCAATAAATGAAATCAATGAATCAACCAATCAACCAATCAATCAATTAATTTGAATAAATCAATCCACCAATTAGTTCGTCAATTAATGAATTTCTAGATAGACATCTAAGTTGCATGTATAGATAGATGAAAATAGAGAGATATATCTCCAAGTTTCACCTTGAAATCCTGTTCACTATTTCCAACATCAAGATGATGAAGCAGTTGAATAATATTGTTGTTACTCAACCTCAACCAGCTCGGTATCAACTCCTTCTCTACAACCTTAAATAAACATTAGTTTATCATCTCAAATCGAATCAACTCAAATCAAATCAAATCAAATCAAATCAAATCAAATCAAATCAAATCAAATCAAATCAAATCAAATCAAATCAAATCAAATCAAATCAAATCAAATTTAAACTAAACTAAACTAAACTAAACTAAACTAAACTAAACTAAACTAAACTAAACTAAACTAAACTAAACTAAACTAAACTAAACTAAACTAAACTAAAATTCAAATCAAAAAAATATATCTGTTACTAATCCCCAGATATCTATCGGAAGAAAAGAGCGAAACATTATAAATTGCCTCCTGATTGTCAACCAAGGGGTGCATTTTAAAGACCCCCCCCCAGTTTTACCTTTCCTACTCAAAATATAAAAAAAAATTCTATTCTATGTTAAATCTTATAACCAACCAACCCATAGTGTCAAAATCCTCGAAAAAAATCTGACCTTTCTAGCAGCATCCGACCTCTCTTTGAGTCCCCTCTGTAGAACCCCCTCCCTCTGACCAATGGTTAAAGATTTGATGTGAACCTTCTCCGAAAGAAACTTGTAGGCAGAACGTCTAGATATTTACATAATACAATCTTTTCCATTTTGATTTAGATCGGGGTCGGATTTAACTTTAAAAATTGAAGAAAATAAGAAGTATAAAGTTATGAACTCTTAAAAAAATAAATTCTACAGTAGATTTAATTGAAAAATAACAAGAAAGTGCAAGTAATAAAGATGACAAACGGAAATCCAGAAGAAAGGAAACAAAATGGATCAAAATCTGGAAATTAATTCTAGGGGAGGGCCGAGTAAAGAAGGGTAAAGAAGTTTTGGGATGTCCCACAATCAAAACATTGTACCCTGCAGAAATAATTAAAATTGAGGTATCCAGCAGTTATACATCAAATTTGAAAGCGGTGACTGTAGATATCGAGATCAAGTAAATAAACTTAAAGGAACTGTATGCGGAATACAAAGATGGTAATGCTCGATTCATAACGGTACACTTTACAGTTTTGTCTGATCAAGTATGAATGTATGTTTATAGTTTAAAACACCATCTGTTCTTCATTGAAAAGTGGCATGGGCATTTCTACTCCAGGAAAACAAATGTGAATTATCAGAATTAAATACTTTAAAAGGGCAATATCGTCCACATTGTTGATCAGATAAAGGTTTCAAAGATACCGTCGTGAATCGAGCATTACCATCTTTGAATGAAGGGTCAATTGAAATTACGCTTACAGACATAAAGACGTTCATGTTGATTTCCTACCTGACTCCTTCATCTACATCCCTGGTTCTCTCCAGTATATGAGGAAGGGTCAGCCTGGTAGCTCCGATACATCTCACGATCGTCCGCCGGACTATAGGGTTAGGGTCGTGAGCCAGATGGAACAGGTACGCCTGAACAAATAAAACAAGGTGGAAAATGTTTTAATTCAAGTTTAAATCTTAAAGGGAACCCAACGTGGAATCCCCAGACTGACTTCATGGCGCTACACACCACTGTGTGGAGAGCGACTTGGAGTCCAATTTGGACAAAAGTGCAATTTTATAACGCCCATGTCTGTTTATGAAAGTGCTTAGGATCGGAAGGAGGGGGGCCGCTCTCCCTAGCTTCCAGACGCCCTCCTCCCTCCTCCCTCTTTCTGATCTCTTATAAAAAATAAGCTAAATATTCAATTTTTTTTAGGAAGAAAGTACCTTGATTATCGGACACTCGTCATTTTTTGGATCCTGGAGCCTCTGCAATGCAGTCACGGCCTACATTCAACCATTTTAATTGAGGAAAAAACCAAACGTCATAACTTCAGTGTTGTGAATATTGGGATCAAATATTGATCTTCATCTTATGCAGACCTAGGGATTAATTTGATTCCTCTTCGATATCCCGTTATGGTTAATTTAATTCCTCTTCGATATCCCGTTATGGAATATGGTTATACCTTGCAGTGACAACTTTAATTGAGGGATAAATCGTTTAACCTCAAATTTGAAAGTGTTCACATTAGATATTGAGATAAAGCGTTCAAGATAAAGGATCCATAAGTTCTTAAAACTCAAGACATCTTTGTGGTCATTGGGGACAATCAATTAAAATTATGGAAGTTAAGTGATTTGGTTTAAATTAAAAAACCACCAGATATTTTCAAAAAAGTAAGAAAATATCCTCTAAAAATCCCGAGTTTTAAGTTTCAGCTAAAGTGGATATGATCCGTTTTTATGTGTCTTTTGATTTTTCTAAAGAATTTAAAAAGAATTTTTTAAAAATTTGAGAATTTAAGAAAAAATCTTGAAAATTAAGAAATTTAAAAGGTTGTTCCCTGGGATCTGATGTCCGCCATTTTATCCTTGAGTCTATCGAGCATTCCGTAGTAGATTCTAAATAAATTAAATTCCGTAATAGATTCTAAGTAAGTTAAATTCCGTAGTAGATTCTAAATAAATTAAATTCCGTAGTTGATTCTAAATAAATTAAATTCCGTAGTAGATTCTAAATAAATTAAATTCCGTAGTAGATTCTATATAAATTAAATTCCTTAGTAGATTCTAAATAAATTAAATTCCGTAGTAGATTCTAAATAAATTAAATTCCGTAGTAGATTCTAAATAAATTAAATTGTCTTTCCAAAAATAATTTAATGAAATGGCTTGGTATTTAGGCTGAAATTGAAGTATTGTGGAGAAAAACTTTAGGGTTCAGTTGTAGTTTTTACTGTGTAAAAGTTTTTCTTTACAATTCTTGAATAACATGGACACAACATGCAAAAATAAACCATTCATCAAACTAGTTGCAAATGAATCCTTAAGTTTTTCTCTATAATACTTCACTTTCAGCTCCACTTTTCAATATATTCAGAACTTACTTGTTATACAGTTCATCATCAATACAAGCCTCCTCCCCCATATACTTGAGGAGTTTATTCAGAAGCTGACAAACACGTAGGCGGGCATCAACACCCTCAACAGCATGGTGGTCAAGTAGCCACACAAATAGTCTAGAAATATACAAATAGTCTTTAAATATACAAATAGTCTTTAAATATACAAATAGTCTAGAAATATAGAAACAGTCTAGTCATATAGAAATAGTCTAGAAATATACTAATAGTCTAGAAATATACAAATACTCTAGAAATATATAAATAGTCTAGAAATATACAAATTATCTAGAAATATACAAATAGTCTAGAAATTTACAAATAATCTAGAAATATACAAATAGTCTTTAAATATACAAATAGTCTTTAAATATACAAATAGTCTAGAAATATACAAATAATCTAAAAATATACGAACACTCTTTAAATATACAAATAGTCTTTAAATATACAAATAGTCTTTAAATATACAAATAGTCTAGAAATATACAAATAATCTAAAAATATACGAACACTCTTTAAATATACAAATAGTCTTTAAATATAGTCTAGAAATATACAAATAGTCTAGAAATATACAAATAGTCTAGAAATATACAAATAGTCTAGAAATATATAAATAGTCTAGAAATATACAAATTTAGATAAATTATAAATCATAAAAATGATTTTTTTCAAAAATAAATCTGCGGATTTTCTGAATTTAAATTTGCGTATTTTCTGAAAAATTTATCTGAAAAATTAGGTGTTGTTTTTCTGTGTTTAAAAGTGCTGAATTTAATTCTGTCAATTCCTATATGTTTTCCTTTAGTAAAAATGCACAAGTAACTCTTGTGGAAAAACCAAATTGAAAATTTTCATCAATATAAACATTAATGTCTAAAGAACCCGTGTCAAGTAAGACATTTTGTAATATCTCTTTCAATATTCATAGCAGCCGGTTCTATTTTTGAACGTAGACTCATATAATTTGTTAGGAGCAGGATATGAAGTCAGATTGTCGATATCTCTTTCCGGAGTCTTGGAACCTCTGAAAAGTGACCTCCGTCGGCTCCGATTTTTTATCGCCGGCCTCGTTGGACATAAATAGCCCATTTTTTAAATATATACTCCCAATGACCCCTAAAATACACAAAAAAAATTATTTATTTTTTTATCAAGTTTTTGACGTCAAAACAGGGTGTCAAAAATTGCGTTTTTTAAAATTTTTTTTAATTGCAAAAAATGACAAGTTCTGATAAAAAATGTTGGAGTAAAAGAAAAGATAAAATATCATTTATATTATTATCTAACACATTGATGAAAAAAAAATTACAAAAAATTAATTTTTTCGTGGGCTACGGGCTGTTTGGATAATTTTTTTTTGACAAATCACCCTTTTTAGGCATTCTCCTCCCTTTTATAGATGGTGGCTGGTAATCAATACACGATCTGGTTGGTAATCAATCCTTTGGTTTATCGATTAATCATCCGGTTTATGGATCATTTATCCGGTTAATCAATTAATCATCCGGTTTTTCCATCAATCATCCGGGTTATCAATCAATCAATATATTAACTGGTTTATCAATCAACTAACTGGTTTATCAGCCATCAAGTTTATCATCAAGGTATCAATCATCTGGTTTGTTAATCCATCATCGAATTTATCAATGAATCATCCGGTTTATCAATAAATGACCTAGATAATCAATACACCATCTAGTTGGTAATCAATCCTTCGGTTTATCGATCAATCATCTGGGTTTTTAATATATCCCATGGCTCTGGACTCCCCCCCCCATCATCAAAAATACTTGTCCACCTACTCTGAAAAATAATCCCCCATGTATTTTATTAGGAATTCTATTCTGTAAAGTTTGACTTTAATCTTGCGTTAAATGGTTATAACAACATTTCAGGTGTTATGTTTACATATTTAGAAGGGTTTACGTTTAAAAGGTTCAGACTTTTGTTACCTCTTACGAAGTTTGGATTTGTGCTACAGTGGTTGTGGTAAGCATTTAATCCGACATAAGGATTCTGGACCTGTTGACGTCTATAAGTAATCATAAACTAATGAACTCCTTAAGTTAATTAAAATGAATTAAATTAAATCATTGGTTAACCAATACAGGAAACATTGGAGAATATCTTAACTATGCTTTAATTGAGCCGATTTTCTGTTTCACTATGATAAGGGGTCAATGTCCGTCAGCAAGCTTGGAAATATGAACTTGTTGAGATATTGAGTCCATACAGGATTTCCAGCGTACGGAGTTTGACCTACATAAACATAAGTACTTATTATGATAATGATTGATTAATAAATAAGACAATTGATTGATGAAACAAATGATTGAATGAAAACCAGAGGATTTTTAAAAACCAAATGATTGATTAATAACTGTATGATTGATTGATAAACCAGATGATTGATTGATAAACTGGATGATTGATCGATAAACCGGATGATTGACTATTAAATGGAGTGATTTATTGATACACCAGTTGATAGATTAAAAACCCAGATGATTGATCGATAAACCGAAGGATTGCTTACTAACTAGATGGTGTATTGATTATCTAGGTCATTTATTGATAAACCGGATGATTCATTGATAAATTCGATGATGGATTAACAAACCAGATGATTGATAACTTGATGATAAACTTGATGGCTGATAAACTCCCCCCCACACTTTACAGACTGTACGCGCTCCTTGGTCCAGAGACCATTAAACATTGCATGCTTTTTGTTTTCGCTAATTAGGGACTAATAATCAGAATGGGACATGTTTCTGTAAAAACAACTAATAAACTGTTGGAAAGAGCCCCGGACATCAGAAATATTTCGAAATTGCCAACTCAATTGTAAACTGGTGGTAAAGAGGAAAATTGGGTCTTTTCATAGGAAGACATTTCATATATGGACATTTCATAGACAGGTCTTTTCATAGATAGGACATTTCATAGATTGAGTAGATTTTTTATAGAATTTCAGAGACATAGCATAATTTTTAAAGATAGGTAGTTTCAAAGACATGAGATTTTTTTTCAAAGACAAGGTTTTGGGTTTGTAAATAATGTGTCACAAGTTTAGAAAATGTTATCAGTTTGACCAACAAGAAATCAACTTAGTATAATATATCAGTTTAAAATCAGAAAGAACAGGGTATGAATTATGAGACAAGATTACTTGGAAGAAAAAAAAACAAAATATATCTATGAACATCTCTGTCTATGAAATGTCCTACCTATGAAGTATCCTATCTATGCAATGTTCTGTCTACGAAATGTCTTTTAAGTTCTATGAAATGTCCTATCTACTAAGTATCCTGTCCATGCAATGTTCTGTCTACGAAATGTCTTCTAAGTTCTATGAAATGTCCTATCAAATCAATTGTCCCATCTATGAAATGTCCTATCTATGAAATGCCATGTCTATTAAATGTCATTTCTATGAAATTTCCTGTCTATAAAATGTCTTGTCTATGAAATGCCTTGTCTTTGAAATGTTTTTATCAAATCAAATGTCCTATCTATGAAATGTCCTGTCTATGAAATGCTCTGTCTATGAAATGTCCTATCAAATCAAATGCCCTATCTATGAAATGTCCTATCAAATAAAATGTCCTATCAAATAAAATGTCCTATCAAATAAAATTTCCTGTCTATGAAATGTCCTATCTACGAAATGTCCTATCTACGAAATGTCCTATCTATAAAATGACCCAACACCAAAATTGATTTGGGTGTACATAAAACAAAATTCAAATTTCGAATTAAAAAATTATCCCTTTCATTTTTCGCACACACTTCCTCGCATGATTTTTTTCATATCACATTTGAGATTTTAAATTGCACTTTTTAGGGATAAGATTTGCGGCTCAACCAATGGAAATGTCTGCAGGTTTTATTTAACCAATTTTAACTAGTGATATTCGTCGTATTCAGTTGGGAATATTTAACCTAATCAAGGATTTCTTCGTAGTTGTGGAAAATTGATGCCTTATTTTCAAAATTGTTAATAATTCATATGGTCTTTCATTTCTTTAATGTAGTTCAGCTTCAATTACATGCTTTTTGGACACTTTTAGTTTTGTTCACTTATGTACATCTGCAAAGTTTCTTAGTTAATTTAAGATTAAAATTTAAATATTTGTAGCCTATAGATTTAGAAACAACTGGTGGTGGTTAACTTATTATAATACTATAGCATCTGGGCGCAACTAGGAAATGATGGATAGGGGGTATATCTCCCCTAATCAATTGGTTTTTTATGTTTTCATGTAAAATAAATGAAAGAAAAATAAAATGAAACCCTCCCCTCTCCCTTGTTGCGCCAAAAAACTGCATAAAGAAATTATAAAAAAATTGGTGACGGTGATGTTTAGCAGGCTTAAATAAGACCGCCTTCATATTTGAGATTCTTTCAATTTTTGATAACTTTTATTTTATTTTTTTTATAACTAAATTTTGAATGTCCGCGAAGATTAAAAACAGTTTTTTTTATTTCCTGTCAAAATTGACAAGAGTTAACTTAGACTTCTCAGCTAATGACGGATTGGCGATGAGAGTTGGAGGAGCGCAGCCTGATGCACCAATACAACCTGATGCACCAATACAACCTGTAAGTGTTAATGGGACTGTCAGCGTAATTTCAAGTGATCCTTCGTGCAAAGATGGCAATATCAGATTTACAACGGAACCCTTGAATCCTTAATCTGATCATAAATGTGGGAGATACTGTTTTTTCTAACTTGACTTGACTTGTGTAGAAATGAAAATAATCATTTCCAAGAAACAAAAATAGTTTTATCTAATTAAAGCTTTAAAGTTTAAAATCCAAAGAATTGTTCACGTATTTGAAAAACACTTCTTACAGAAAATTGAACATTCTGGCCCAAAGTGACAGCTTATTGTATATTTTCAAAAAAGTACAAATCAATTTTTAGTTATAATAACTACCGTAACCTAGAACTTGACTTTTCCATCATTGAAATTAAGTGAGACAAAATAAAATATTTTGTTTCTTCAATGCAAAATTTATACCCCAGCTGTGGGTCAACAAATATTTTGAAAAGTTCTCAAAAATATTAGACTTAAAGGGAGTGACCGGCTGTGTAAGGTAGTTGAACTGAGTGTGCAGTGTTGTGGAAAACTTCTTTCGGATTCATTTGAGACATACTAAACTTTTTAAAGATCTGTAAATCCTGAGTTTGAGCGCAAATTCGACGTTCAAAACTCCTACTTTGGGGGTGGATACGTTTTCAGAATTAGTTTTTTTTTTTAATTATTAAATAACGACGACATGAAATGTAAAAAGTTCTTAAATAAACTACTGTATCGGAACAGGTTGAAAAATAAAAAATTAACTTTTATAATTAAATAAATATAATATATTTTTTTAAATTTATTTTTAGTCATGAAAATGGTTCCTCATTTTCCCTGTGGTTTTTGCAGATTTTCTAGAATTATTATTGAAAAGACGACATTTGAAGAATTTGAAGAAATCTACGAATAAATTCAAAGAAAATTAGAAATTCAATATAATGATAAAAACGAAATAATTGATTATTGACAAATTTCTTTTGAGAAATATGTTTTCAACCATCTAATTAGATTACTGTGTGATTTTTACTTTATTTTTCGTCGTCGTTATTTAGTAATTTTAAAAAAACCGATTCTGAAAACATATCCATCCCCAAAGAAAGAGTTTTAAACGTCGAATTTGCGCTCAAGCACGGGATTTACAGATCTTTAAAAAGTTTAATATGTCTCAAATGAATCCTAATGAAGTTTTACACAACACTGCATACTCAGTTCAACTACCTTACATAGCCGGTCACTCCCTTTAAGTAGCATATACATGCCCGAGTTACAATGGTACATTTTTAAACATGGATTTCTCATCTTCTCTTCATCATATAAAGCTGATAAGGGTACCGTTGTGAATCTGAAATACAGGGTCACTGAAGTACGTTCTTCAGTACCTTTTTTTCCCTTCAATTATTCCCTTTAGATCTGTTTATTTACAAATATGTTGTTTAAGGTTGTTGCTCCAGTTAGAACAGAGTTCCCTGAAACTTGGTTGTTTAGCCTCGAAGAGGTTAATCTGGAGGATGGATCTCTTAACAAGTAGGAGGACGTTGTTGTTGTTGATGTTCTTCATGTTTTAGTTCTTTATACTGTTTTTTTTTCATTCGGTTCTTAACATTGGTCTTGTTGTTGATGTTCTTCATATTGTTTCTTTGTACTGGTTTTCATTTAGTTCTTAACATTGTTGTTGTTTTTATGTTCTTCATATTGTTGCTTTGTACTGGTTTTTATAACGTTCTTAACATCGTTGTTGTTAATGTTATTCTTCATATTGATTCTCTTTTTACTCATTTTCAAACGGTTCTTAACATTGTTGTTGTTTTTGATAATGATAACAATGTTGTTAATGATGATGATAATGTAATTGATAATTGTAGATAATTGATTGCTCCTGACACCCTGACCTCCTGTAGTGTTGATGATGATATAATGTATATGATGATGATGTTCTAATTGATAATTGTAGATAATTGATTTCTCCCGACACTAACCTCTGCAGTCTTGATGATGATAACAATGTTCATGATGATGATGATGATGATGATGATGATGATGATGATAAAAATGTTATTCATGATAATAACAATGTTTTTAATTATAATGTTGATAATGATCCTTATATTGATGATGATGATAATAATAATGATAATGATGATAATAATATTAATGTTGATGATGATGATAATGTAATTGATAATTATAGAGAATCGATTTCAACTGACACCCTAACCTCCTGTAGTGTTGATGATGATACTAAAATAGATAATGAGAGTTGATTGCTTTTGTAGTGTTAATGATGATACTATTGTTGATGATTAGAGTTGATTGCTCCTGTAGTGTTAATGATGATACTAATATTGATGATGAGAGTTGATTGCTCCTGGAGTGTTGATGATGATTCTAATATTGATGATTAGAGTTGATTGCTCCTGGAGTGTTGATGATGATTCTAATATTGATGATTAGAGTTGATTGCTCCTGTAGTGTTGATGATGATACTAATATTGATGATGAGAGTTGATTGCTCTTGTAGTGTTGATGATGATACTAATATTGATGATGAGAGTTGATTTCTCCTGGAGTGTTGATGATGGTACTAATATTGAAGATGAGAGTTGATTGCTCCTGAGTGTTGATGATGATACTAAAATTGATGATTAGAATTGATTGCTCCTGTAGTGTTGATGATGATACTAATATTGATAATTAGAGTTGATTGCTCCTATGGTGTTGATGATGATACTAATATTGATGATTAGAGTTGATTGCTCCTGTAGTGTTGATGATGATACTAATATTGATGATGAGAGTTGACTGCTCCTGTAGTGTTGATGATGATACTAATATTGATAATGAGAGTTGATTTCTCCTGTAGTGTTGATGATGATACTAATATTGATGATTAGAGTTGATTGCTCCTGTAGTGTTGATGATGATATCAATGTTTTTGATGATAATATTAATGATAATGTTGATGATGACGATAATGTTAATGATAATATTGAAAATGATAAAAATTTGCATGATGATAATAACCTAATTAATAATTGTAGAGAGTTGATTGCTCCTGACACCCTGACCTCCTGGAGTGTTGATGCTCTCTGTATTAATCCTTCTTCAGGGCTTGGAGTTTCAAACACCAAAACCATTCTTGTTTCACAGGTAATTTAATTCAACTTTTTAAGCCTCTTCTAGGTCCCTTAACACTCTGCAGCAAGGGTCCCTTTAGAGTCATTTTGTTTTCCCTTAACCCTATCACGATTGGGGGCCTTTTTTTTACCTCCTTTTTGTTTGTTTTTCTGAATAACTTAAAAACGGCTGACATTAGAACGCTAAAAAATCTTCACTTTTTCACCATCATAGTAGTGAACAAATTTTACCAAAACAAATTTTTTTGTGATGTACTGGGTAGGGTGGAAGACAGTTAAACGGCGGGTCGGTGTATCAAAAAAAATCAGTAATTAAGCTACAGGGCTAAAATTAATATCGTTGAAAAGCCCTTGCAAAAAGGATGTAATAATATATTTCACATGTAAACATTTGTCAAGAGTAAAAATAATTATTTTTGAACATTTTTCCGAAGTACTTTATTAACTTTTTTTAAATCCTCCCTTGAAAAGATGTAATAGGAACATGTATCATACTCTCCTATCTTAACTCTGAGCGCTAAATCATAGGGGGGGGAAAACGTCCCCCCCCTCCCCACGATCTATATCAGACTAAAATAGCCCAATCGGGATAGGGTTAAGATTTCCATCGAAAATCCTTCAGAGCCTTGCTAGTTGTTACACTCCGGCAAGGGTACCTTTTAAGTCTCTTTTTATGTTCTTCAAAGTGCTCATAATTTTACCTTTACAACCTAATAAGAGTTCCTTCACACTACATTAGAGACCCTTTTGAGTCCTTTCTTAGTCCCGTGGGAATTACTTTTTAGTCCTAATGAAGTCCCTGTGCGGTCCCCTTTGAGTTCCTTTGGAATTACATGAAGGTTTCCCTTTAAAGTCAAATCCATTTGTAGCAGCCACTTTGTAGCCCATTTGTAGCCTCCTCGCATCCACTTTGTAGCCCATTTGTTGCCTACTCGCAGCCCATTTGTAGTCTTCTCGCAGCCGCTTTGTAGCCCATTTATAGCCTCCTCGCAGCCACTTTGTATCCCATTTGTAGTCTCCTTGCAGTCACTTTGTTGCCAATTTGTAGCCTCCTCGCAGCCACTTTGCAGCCCAATTGTAGTCTCCTCGCAGCCACTTTGTATTGTTTTTATAGTACCTTTGTCTGAATTCCCTTCAGTTCTCAAACAGTTGCCTTCAGAGTGACTTAGAAGTCCCTTTAAAATGCTTTAAGTAGTCCTTTCTTAGTCCTACTCCAATCAAGTTTCTTCGGAGTCCATTCGGACTATTTTTGGAATCTCTCTTTGGATCGGTCCTCTTAGAATCTCGGATTCTAACGCGTTTTCAATTTGAATGCTTATGTTCATTTTCGAAACCAGTTCTTAAAAATACAAACGAAAATAAAAAATAAACTTTTTTTCAGGATTTCTTCGCCGACCTTCGTTTTCCCTTTGCTGTGAAACGGGGCGAAGTATTCCCTCTTAACATCAGGAATATATTCAACCAAACTACTTAAGGACTATTGACATGTTTCTAACTAATTAAGGAACTGTAATCGTAATTTTACGTGACCCTTTAAGCAAAGACCATGGCCGATTTTTCCCACACCCTCGAAAGCTTTGTTTAATCAAGGATGAATTAGATATCAATAATTTTGAAAAATAATTATTTTCAATTGTGGTTTCTGTGGTAAAGTGACTTAAACATTTCTATACTGTTGGAAGACAGATCTGAATTGTCTAAATTAAACATTTTTAAACCATGAAAATCCAAATTAATGATTATATAAAGGTTTCAAGAATTGTCAATTTTGCATGGAGGGTCACTTGATATTAGTCATACTGTTCCTTTAACATTTAAGTTTTAAATCCCTTAATCTAGTCAACCTGATATTTCCATGACTTTTGATTTATTAATCTATGAATTCTGTTAGTATAAATCAAAGTTTGATAAATCAGAGGTTTTCACTTTCCTGTTGTAAGAATATATGGATTAGAAATCTAAGTTTGAGAGGAGTGACCATAGATTAAACAAAATAACAGATATAACACTAGATGTCGTCTTTTGTAGATTTAGTGGTTTTTCGTTCACAATAACCCTGAGGCAGAATCCCAAAGGAGTTACGCACATGCTCTCTCTTTTTCTTGTCATTCATAAAAGCATGCGCGTAACTTCTTTGGGCTTCTGCCTCAGGGTTATAGTAAACGAAAACCCCTAAATCTTAAACAGACGACGTAAAAAGTGAATAAAACGGTTGACACTTTTGTGTAATCGCAGTTTTTGTTTTTAGCGCTTAAATACGTATCTGCTCCACAGCTTAAAGAGACTGTAAGCGTAATTTCATGTGACTCTACATGCAAAGATAGTAAAGTTAGCAATGATGGCAAGAAATATTGTAGTTTTTCTAGGGATAAAAATGTTTAATGCCTACATGTTTACCTGTAATAGAAATGCGTAAATCCCTACAATAAGAACCCATAATTTAAAATCAATAGTTTTTTTTTAATTATTAACATTAATATCTAATTCATACTTGATCAGAGAAAGCTTTTAAAGGTACCGTTGTGAATCGGGAATTGCCATCCGTGCATGGAGTGTCACTTGCGCTTATAGTCCTTTTACACGTGTTGAATATTAACCTTGTTAAGTGTGTTCAATAACCTAGAGACTGATCTACCCCTGGTTCTAACAATACAGTCGGAAAATGTAAAACCTAGTACAGAACAATTCAAACTTTGTCTTAGGTAAATTAAAACATTGTTATTTTAACAGAAAAATTCTTTGTTATATCTAAAACCAGCTAAAGTGTTAGATTTTTAAACTTGTCCAACACTCGAAAAATGTTGAAATGGTTTATTTGTTTAAAAGACCATTAATCTAATGTTATCCAGGAGAAGAGGAGGAGGGGAGGGGGAGTTACATCTCCCCCATCTAGATAATATTAGATGATATATTATTAATTTCAAAAATAAAGAACCATGAAAACTTAATCACTTTTGAATTTTGCTGATATGGAAGGTCATTCAAAATATAATTGTGACCGTAACTTTATTTTTTTGAAATAGATTACTCTACTTAAACTTAATTTATTTCATTTTATATTTATTAAGTATTTATATCTTTGTAACATAATGTTGTAGACAATTGATATTTTAAACGATGATCTTGCTATTTGAATACAAATTGTCTTCGTACATATATTAATATAAATATATATTCGAATATATGTCAAAAATCTATTTTTTTTAATTCTGATATTTGTAGTGGGCGAAGTAACGAACTGATTTCTGTCCCGACAAAAGCTGACAAAGTTGGAGATATTGATGTTCTTGTGTCTGCTACTATTGAAAACCATGAGGTAAGGTTGTTTATATTCACAGCAAAAAAAATCCCGCATTTTCATGTACATACGTGTTTAGTGGATTTATATGAAATCAAAAGTCATTAAAGTCAAATGTCAAAACTCAAGTTCTTCTAATTCCTTCCCAATAAAAAAACAGGGCAACTGGACTATCGTAGTCCTGTTGGTAAGGAGTTTGAAATTAGCAACTGAACATAATGCTAAAAAAGAGCCCTGAACGTGTCTTAATTAAACGGACTGAATTCAACCAACAGTTTTCTGGTTCTCGGTTCATCAGGACACTCTGTTAAAAATGTTAAATAAATATTGGCGTAACTCAAAATTGTTTTTTTTTTGGTAATGAGTGCTGAAACAAATATTGTGGGAAATATGAAACTAGTCCTTCGAATCCAAATTTTATTTGATGTGGATCCGGCTCTTGGATACGGCTTATAAATAATTCTTTTATCCAAAGCAAAGTTCCAAATTTTTCGTCTTTTTTCCACAAATTTGAATCCACAAAGTTAAGTTACCATTCAATGATACAAATGTTTTGTGGATAATTGGAGTAAAATATTCCCAATTCATATTTTACCCCCTGGATCTAAATCCGTATTATTTCTTTTCTTCGCAGCTTTCAAATTGATTGTTCAGGGTTGCTCCCCTGTAGAGCAAGGAGTTGGATTCTCTGATCGTCTGAAGAAACCCTTGAAGGTGAAACCTGAAGGTATCCCAGTAGAAAAGGTTCAATCCGAGTTCAAGTGCCTGGACAATTCGGTTGATAAGGTAGCTGGTATATTTGTTTTAATTACTTATCCCGCACCGCTAAAAAAATTATTTTTGAGGGTCTTAAAGGGGCTGTAAAGGAAAATTGAAAGGGGGTGTAGGATGAAACCTGAGAATGTCAGGCGTTGAAAGATACATATAAGACATCTATCTGATGTTTCTGTCTCAAGAAATTGATTTAAAACTGTGTCTAATTTATACGAAAATTCATATATATTTGCAATTTGTAGTATAAAACAGATCATATTCCACAAATACGAAACCAATCTGAAAACGACGATATCCCACAGAAACCTGAGAATCTCAGGTTTGCTCCTGTTATAAACATTTAATTTTTGTTTTGCATTTTCAAAAGATATAATTGATAATATTATTGCATATAGTCCGTATAGTCTGTATTACGACACCATAGCTTCAGCCAATGGCAATACAGTATACTGGTCACGTGATTTTTGTCTGTATCTATTGACCAGTATACTGCACTCTCATTGGCGGAAGTTCTTGTGACGTAATACAGACTTTTAAATAATGATATCAATTATATCTATTAGAAATGCAAAATAGAAAAATATAATGGGAGCAAACCTGAGATTCTCAGGTTTCTGTGGGATATAATCGTTTTCAGATTGTTTGCGTATTTGCTGAATATAATCTGCTTAAACCTTTTTTATACAAAATTTAACATACATATGATTTTCCTATAATTTTGACACAGTTTTATATCAATTTCTCGAGACAAGAACATCAGATAGATGTCTTATATGTATCAATTTCAACGTCTGAGATTCTCAGGTTTTATCCTATACCCCCATTCATTTTTCCTTTAAAGTCCCTTTAATCAGAAAAATGAAAAAATTTATTTTGTGTACAACATATCATAAAGGTGGAGGGGGTAATTTCTGTCCTTGCTATAATTAAGATCCAAACAATATCTATCTTGGATAAGGTTATTATGAGCCGGCTGGAGGTTCCTGAGACAAAAGTAGAGGGATCAGACCGGGCTTGGATTCATGTATCAGGAGATATTCTAGCTCCAGCTCTTCAAAATATTGGAAATCTAGTAAACATGCCAACAGGTAGAGAACAGACACCATTATAAGATGGAACAGGTAGAGAACAGACACCATTATAAGGTGGAACAGGTAGATAAAAGACACCATGATAAGGTGGAACAGGTAGAGAAAAGACACCATGATAATGTGGAACAGGTAGAGAATTTATGATTGACACCGAATGTTTTTTTTGCTCCTTTATTTACTTTTCATGTACTGAAGACTTTATTAACTTTTTATTTATTGAAGACTTTATTTTCTTTACATTTACTGAAGACGTTATTTACTTCATTTACTGAAGACTTTATTTACTTTTCATTTTCATGAAATTTTTTGTTTACTCAATTTTTTTCTCTTTTTTTCACGGGCAACGCCGGGCCCTTCAGCTTGTATTCTTTATAATAAAACTCTTGGCTAATATATATATATATGTATATATTTTTATAGGTTTTCTTAAAATAAGTCTAGAACATGTTATGTTGTTTTATTAAGATTGTTTATTGGTGGACACTGTGTTTCATGTTGGACATTCTATATATTTATATGTATATAAAGCTGGCTAAACGGCTGGACCGAATGTGCTAAATATTTCTAAAATTACACGGGCAACACCGGGCACTTCAGTTAGTAATTATTCAAATCAATAATCAAAATAAAAAATAAATAAATAATAAATAAATATCTTATTGGAAATTAATTTTTATGATTATACAAAAGAAAATCTCTGGTTATGGCAGGTCTGGCTGGTCTTGCATTAATGTCAAACCTAATTGGTTCGTTGTATAATATACTATATTATATATTTTTTATACACGAATAAAATTACATTGAAATATATCTAGATAATGACACAAACAAAAAAGGGCAAATAGTTACTATTTTTATTTATTTTTAAGCTAACTTATGAAAAATTCACCCTCCATGGTTTTGCCCTGAGATCGTTGATGAGACGGGGAAAGTGTGATGCATGTTAATTAATAGTCCAACTTTTTATATTTTTATATAATTTTTCTGCTAACTTGAATATATTTAGGAGGTAAAAAAAGGGTAAAAAAAATAAAGAAATCGAATCTTTTTACTAACGTACTCATGTGATTTAATATTCGGTGATGGTGATGGACCAAACCTCTGAAGAGTAAAAAAGTAGATGTTAGTTCCATATTTATTGAAAATATATTTCGGTCTGGGTTGACCCGCGTCAGTTCTAACGATATAATAAGGATAAAAAAAAAAATCACAAGAAGATAAACAAACAAAAAAGATTATTTAAAATAAAAATTTGGGCTGTCAAATGGACATAAGGGAAACGAACTCAGATTATGAGATGGAAAAAAGATAATTTGCTGTTTTAAGACAATTATTATTCCTTGAGATTGTTTCTTCACAAAGATTAAAAACAAACTGTGTAGATGTGTGTGTATAGAGTGGGAGTGGGGGTCGATCTAATTAACGAACTTTTGCGTAAGTCGGGTTAAGGGGGAGGGGGGGGGACGGCTTGTTTAAGGAGGAGTATTTGAACCTTTTAAAGAATTGGACATATAAACTCTTTTTTTTAAATCATGTGAGACAATATTCATTTTTCAAATGCTTTATGTTAAGGATATGGTTTTAATTAAAGGGCCTGTAAGCATAATTTCAAGTAACGCTCCATGCAATGATGACAATGCCCGATTTAGAACAGTAACCTTTAACCTTTTATTGTTAATCGAGGACAAAAATCTCCAATTGTTTCCATTTCTTAAATATTGCACGGAGTCCTGCAAAGTCGGAGTGTACACTCTCGTAGTGTGAACTCAACTGTGAGCTTAACTTTTACTCTTGAAAAATATTGAAATATTTTACCTCCAACGAGGTTTTCAAACATCCAGAAGTAAATATTTATTTTCTGTGACTTTAAGAAAGTAAATATCATTAATGGCATTGTGCAAATGGAGGGTCACTTGAAAGTACGCCTGCAGTCCCTTTAAAAGCCCACATTTTGAAGAAAAAACGTTTGTTTCAGGTTGCGGTGAACAGAACATGGTTGGTTTGGTACCCAACATATACCTGCTTCAGTACCTTGCTAACAGCCCACAGTCTGACCCCAAGCTAGAGGCTAGAGCTGTGACCTATATGGAGAGCGGATATAACAAGCAGCTGAAGTACAGGCACTCTACCGGAGCCTATAGTATCTGGGGAGGGAATAATGAAAAAGCTGGGTCAACATGGTTGACCGCCTTTGTTGTTAAAGCGTTCTCCCAGGTATACTGTTTGGTATTTTGGCTTTTTTTAATGCATTGGAGCTTGAAACTCTTGTATTGTGGATAATAATATCAATGCTTGAAGCTTTTGTTAATCTGCAGATCAATTTAATCTTTAATCTTTACCTCTTGAATTAAAAGTGTCCCCTGTGGATATCAAGATTATGCAATCCAACACAATTCCAACACAAAAAATCCCAATTGTTGTTTTAACGAAATAAATAGTTGGGAATTGCTTTTTTTTGTAAATTTTATGGTTTTGTCACTTATCCTTTTGAGTAGTGGAGCATGATTCAGGTGGGGACGTTTTTTTACAATTTGAATGGAAAGACTACTATTGTTTTCACCATTTTAGGATTCTAACAAAATAGAAATTGAACCTCTCGGAAACATTTTTAAATCACGAACAATTGATACAAGACTTAGAGAAGAATGGATAATGGATTTATAAAACTTTGTTATTCTTCCTTGACAATCTGCTCAAAATTTTTAAAACATGTATGATTGTTTTAATTTTATTTCAATAATTTTTTTGTCTAACACATCTCTTACTGTTCTGTAAGCAAGATAGGTATTGTGGGTATGTCAATCATAGGCTTAATGCTTTACACACGGATATACGCAACAATATTCAGTGCTATGGAAAATATCAACAAATTATCTTTGCTCTCAAATACCAAATCTAAAGATGTTAAAGTGAAAAAGATTTAAACATTTTTTTATTTCAGAATGGTTCATTAAGTTTAATCGAAGAAAGAAGAAAATATTTTGAGAATTCTAATTTTTTTATACCTGTAATCTTTAAGAAATGGATCCTATGCTCTGCATTAGCCTTGTGTCATTCAACATTCATTTTCGTCATTAGGGGGGGGGGGGAAGACCTAGATTGAATGCTGATTGATTTATTATTTAATTATTATATTTAGGCGTCTGAATTTATATCAATTGATGAACCTGGACTATTGCACTCTGTCAACTGGTTACTGGATTCTCAGTTGGAGAATGGTTGCTTTGAGAAGAGAGGATATGTCTACTCATCTTCTCTTCAAGGTAATCAAAACTGAAAACTGTAGAATTGGATACTTTTGATCTCCTTCCCGATCACTTAATCTCAATATCCAATGCTGTCACTTTTGATTTACTTCTTAATTCTCTCTTTTTCTCTCTCTCTCTCACTGCCAGTTTCCGACAAATTACAGTTCACTCATTTTATGCGCTCAAAATTTAAAATTTCCTGGCTTCTCTGATTGTCTGTTCTGGTTTCTCCAAACCCCAACACAGACCTAAGATTAAATTAATCTTGAAATTAATAAAAAGAGGAGATCAAGCATTGATCTCAATATTCACAATTCTAAAGTTTTCAACTCTAAAGTCAAAACATTTGTGTTGCGCTAATCTGTACTGCGCTTGATATCCATCTTCAAGGGAACCTCCCTACAGCAAAGATAGTAATGTCTGATTCACAACCGTTCCCTTTAAACCTATATTTGATCAGTTTCTCTAGGTTTAATTGTGTTTTAATTCTGATAACTCCAATCCCTTTAATCACATTTTTTTAACATGTAGGAGGAAACTCGGATAGCAGTTTGTCAGCGTTTGTTGTGTCAGCACTGATCGAATTTGCTGCTAAGTTTAAGTTTGAGAATGCTGACAAACTTTCCAACGCTGTTAAATGTGTTGTTGACAGGTAAAATTAAGAATTTTATCCTGTTATATTGAAAACCAGAAACCTCTGAAATTAGAAGACGAATTTTATAATCAAGTTATAACTTTTAAAAGTCCAATGGATCATGATACACAGCAATTGTGCAGTGAAAACAGACACATTTAACTAAATAAGTGATTTTATAGGTGTCTAGTAAAACTTATTGCTTTGTAACAACATCGAATACTCTTTATTGCTATAATTTCATCATTACATTGTTTTTTTGGTTATGACTGTGGTTGTAATTTATGAACAGTAGTTGAACTAGAAACAGCTAGTTAGAAAACTTCTTCACTGATTCAGGCGGTCTTAGCTGTATAGAAATGTAGTTGAACCCCCCAGAGATGGTTCAATCACCTCTGCCTAATTTTTTTTTTAAATATTTTTGTTTTTCTTAAGGAGAAATGATTCTGATTTATATTCCTTGTCTTTGGCAACCTATGCTGGAAACCTAATGAAGTATAAGCTGAACTGTCCCTCCTCTCTACTGGCTATAAATGGACTAGGTAAGGAACAATAGTTTCACACTGTATTTCCACCAGACAAAACTTCCTTCTAAATATTTCTAATTTGATGGGGCAATTTAACTTCCCTCGGGATGATTTTTTTCTTTTTAAGAATGTTCCGCCTATTTTGCATACAGTACATGATATACTCATGAAGTACGGTGGTTAAAATTCTTAAAAAAGGAAGGAACGATTCTGTTATGAAGTAGATGGGTCACGTACTGTAAAATCACCATCCTTCCTTAGAACGTAACTTGTCCTTCCTTATTGAAGAATGTTAACCACCGTACTTCACGTAGTGTGAACTGCATGTGAACATGCACGCTGAAGTGCTTTGTACAAAAGCAGCAAATTGTTAAAAAAGTCTTTTTTTTTACCTTTTCTTCTTCTGTAGCTTAACCCACTGATGGATGGAAATCAGGGATATTTAATTTTATTGCAAATTTTCTTTGGCATTTTGCCTTTTGGATTTTGATAAAATTCCAACTATTGCACCCTTAGTTGATTCCAAATAAACCTTACTGCAGAATGAAGAAATATTTTTTCTATATAAGAATAGGGGGGTTGAATATGGTAGTTCAATATACTTGTAACAAATGCCTTACTCTAATAAGTTCTCTTAAGTCTGTACCAATCCAGGTTTAACCTCAATGTGTATAGTACAGTTACAACTCGCTCTAGAACCCGATGTTCTTCAATAATACTCCAGTCTGTACCAATCCAGATACTACGCTATAGTATGCTTTGATCTAGTATATGTAGCTTGTGTACAGCTGAACATCAGTTTAACTGATATAGATATCAGATATTATATAGCAACTGTAGAATTACATTGTTAAGTACAATTTTTAGAATGATTTCATACATACTTACACAACTGTCATCATTTAAGTTTGTGAACCTGATCTGATTAAAAGTTATGTTTAGTAATGAATGAAGAACTGTCAGAAGAAATCTCCAACATGACAGAGTTTCTTGTATCTCAAGCTAACAGAACCCAACCTGGAGCCGTGTTCTGGGATCAGAGATCTGAGGAACAACAGAACTCTTGGTACTACTACTCAAGGTATAACTATTAACAGAACTCTTGGTACTACTACTCAAGGTATAACTATAACAGAACTCTTGGTACTACTACTCAAGGTATAACTATAACAGAACTCTTGGTACTAATACTCAAGGTATAACTATTAACAGAACTCTTGGTACTACTACTCAAGGTATAACTATAACAGAACTCTTGGTACTACTACTCAAGGTATAACTATTAACAGAACTCTTGGTACTATTACTCAAGGTATAACTATTAACAGAACTCTTGGTACTAATACTCAAGGTATAACTATTAACAAAACTCTTGGTACTACTACTCAAAGTAAAACTATTAACAGAACTCTTGGTACTACTACTCAAGGTATAACTATTAACAGAACTCTTGGTACTGCTACTCAAGGTATAACTATTAACATAACTCTTGGTACTGCTACTCAAGGTATAACTTTTACAGAACTCTTGGTACTACTACTCAAGGTATAACTTTTACAGAACTCTTGGTGTTACATTCTTATCTATTGCAAAAATTTAACCAATCTTTTTATTTTCATTTTGGTTTATAATACATTTAATGTCAGAGTGACTTTTGCCGAAAAAGAAAAGCAAACTTGAATATTTAACCATCTCAGATTCTCAAGGATCTTGAGGGAGGGCTCTTTTTAAAAAGTTCCAAAGCATTTGAACTGCTAGCTCCTTAACCTCACTAGCGACCAGAAAAGAAAATTACTTTCTAATGACTGGCCGTCAGGAGGCACTAGAGGGACTATTTGCTTAAAGGGACTGACTGGCATTTTTTTATATAATACTGAATCCTAACTCTAATACCATTTCTAGCCGGTCACTCCCTTTAATGGTGCCTTTAAAAAAAGGTTTTTTCATTTATATTTTTATTTTCAGATCTACAGCGATTGAGATGACAGCTTATAATGTTATGAGTTTAACACTAAGTGATAGGTACTGTTTCTACTAAACTCGTAGCCTGGTTGATGTAAACATTCTAGAAATAAAAATAAGAAAGAATACAAGTATAAATTGTTTTTATCAATCTGGTTGTTATCTATACAAGAATATATATTTCACTAAACTGTATACATCAGTTTACTTCGACTAAAACTATCCCAAGCAGTGTTTTAGATAGTTTACAAGTCAAAATCAAATGTTTCCAAATCTTCCTCAGCTTATGCATGCAAGATTGCTTACATTCATTAAAAAAAATTGTGAACTCTGACACGAGAAATTGGTAAAAACGAAAAAACTATCGTTTTGAAATTTTAAAGTTCGTTGTTTCGTTAAAGATCGTTAACAACAACCCTTTGTTAACGATCGTTAACGACGACCCTTCGTTAACGATCGTTAACATAATTGTCAATGACTTTTTTTTAACGATCGTTTTTTCAAAAGGGATAGTTTTTAAAATACAATCGTATAAAAACGGTCGCAAATCGTTTTTTTCGTAAACGAAACGATCGTTTTGAAAACGAAACAAAAAAAGATCGTTTAAAGATCGTTTTCTAAAACAATTAACAACACTAACTCTGACACGACAAATTGGTGCAAACGAAAAAATCTCGTTTTGAAATAGCTTTTATTTTTTTTGGTAAAATTTTGCATAATGTTAAAACAGCAAAGGAATTTAGTCTTTGCCACAAACTCTAATTTTCCAATTCCTATTCTTTAAAACCCAACATTGTATAGACCTTAGGTATTTCAAACTCTGAAGTCTTTTATATCAAATTATTCCAGTTTGAAATATCAAAGGTTCTCACCATAGGATAAGAAAATATATTGATTATTTAAAAATCTGTCTTGTTTACTTTGAAATAGAATGTTTATGAATTTAGAAAATGAATAGATGTATATGTTATGAATATATTAATAGTATAGATTAGAAAATGAATAGATGTATATGTTATGAATATATAAATAGTATAGATTAGAAAATGAATAAATGTATTTATTATGAATATAATAATAGTATGAATTAGAAAATGAATAGATGTATATGTTATGAATATAATAATAGTATGAATTAGAAAATGAATAAACGTATATATTATGAATATAATAATAGTATGAATTAGAAAATAAATAAATGTATATATTATGAATATATTAATAGTATGGATTAGAAAATGAATAAATTTATATATTATGAATTTAATAATAGTATGAATTAGAAAATGAATAAATGTATATATTATGAAAATAATAATAGTATGAATTAGAAAATGAATAAACGTATATATATAATGAATATAATAATAGTATGAATTAGAAAATGAAGAAATGTATATATTATGAAAATAATAATAGTATGAATTAGAAAATGAATAAACGTATATATTATGAAAATATTAATAGTATGAATTAGAAAATGAATAAATGTATATATTATGAATATATTAATAGTATGAATTAGAAAATGAATAAATGTATATATTATGAATATATTAATAGTATGAATTAGAAAATGAAGAAATGTATATATTATGAATATATTAATAGTATGGATTAGAAAATGAATAAATGTATATATTATGAATATATTAATAGTATGAATTAGAAAATGAATAAATGTATATATTATGAATATATTAATAGTATGAATTAGAAAATGAAGAAATGTATATATTATGAATATATTAATAGTATGGATTAGAAAATGAATAAATGTATATATTATGAATATATAAATAGTATAGATTAGAAAACGAATAAATGTATATATTATGAATATAATAATAGTATGGATTAGAAAATGAATAAATGTATATATTATGAATATATTAATAGTATGAATTAGAAAATGAATAAATGTATATATTATGAATATAATAATAGTATGAATTAGAAAATGAATAGATGTATATGTTATGAATATATTAATAGTATAGATTAGAAAATGAATAAATGTATAAATTATGAATATAATAATAGTATGGATTGAGAAAATGAATAAATGTATATATTATGAATATATTAATAGTATGGATTAGAAAATTTGAGTTTGTGGTAAAGACTCAATTCCTTAATACAAGAATATATCATATAAAAAAGACGCAAATTAAAAATTTTAAAGTAGTGTTTTCAAAAGGCTTAAAACCAATATCCTTTTCTTATAGGCTGGATGAGGTGGTGGATTCTGTTAAATGGCTTGCTAGACAAAGAAACTCACAGGTTTTTATTATTTTCATGAGTTTTTTAAACACCAATAATGGAATAATATTTACAGATGTAAAATATATCTGTTTTTAATATCTGATATAAAAGTACAAGTACGGATTTCCTTTTGTTATTGAAGGATTTACATTTTTCATGAATTTAACGTTTTGAGGAATAATTGTTTTCTTTTTTATCATCGCCATTTTTCGTCATCTTTGTTGCAGATTTCTTGAATTTAAAAAAAAGAATTGACAGAAGGAACTGAGTTGTTGCCACAAACTCTGATTTTCTAATTCTTAGAACTTTGCTATTTCTTAAACCTTTGATATTTCAAACCATGCCGTCTCTTAGATCAAATAATCAAAGTTTGAAACTCAATTCCTTTTTATACAAAATTTTTAATTTCTAATGTGAGATACCACAAAAAAAAACTTAGGCCTGGTTTGTTTAGTCGTGTTGACGATTTTTGGATACATGGATACATAAAAATAAAGGCGAAATATATACAATTTACATTGATTTTTAATCCTATGTAATTTGCAAAACCTCTATAATAATTTACAACCTATATCCAACCAATAATGTGAAAGATTTTGTCCTTTTTCTAGATTGAAAAATGTTTATTACTAATGATTTTTCTGCAGTAAAAATGCATAAGTCACTTTTGTATAGAAACAGGAATTAAAAATAATCAGTTTTGAAAAGTGTGAACATTGATATCTAGTTCATACATGATTAACTTAATCTTTTAAGGATTCCATTGTGAATCAGACATTGCCATCTTTGCATGGAGAGTGACTTGAAAATTGGCTTTAAAATAAAATCTGTTTCTGTCTATCCAGGGAGGATTTGCTTCAACCCAAGACACAGTAGTAGCTCTGCAAGCTTTGTCCCTTTATGGAAGTAAAATTGGAAAATATCAACAAAATCTGAAAATTAAGGTAAGTCGAAAATTCACATTTCAATATTATTGAATTGTCTTGTGGCCGTGGGGTTGGTAGTTTATTAAATACTTTTCACCAATTTTAAATATTTTTTTCCAAAAATTATTTGTTAACATTTTTTTTAACATTCAATATTAAGCTGGGAGTGGATGATTTCTCAAGAGAATAAATTCCAATATTTCTAGATGAATTCTGAGAATCTTCAGCTAAATTCTGATAATTCTCAAGTTCTGCAGACCGTCAAGTAAGTGTGTATTTTTAGTTTTATTATTGTACAAGCTTGGGACCCCACTGCCCACTGCCCAGGTTACTCCAGCCGTTTACCCATCCTTGGTCGATTTTTACAAGGAAACTAAATTTTCGCTATTAAACTCTTAAAGATCAAGCTTAGAGAATTCCGGTGTTGCTCCCGAGTATCCCAATCAAATTTGAATCAAATTGGTCAAGGAGTTCCTGAGTTATGATCGGACATGTAGAGATTACAACTTTATATATATGATATATCAGTTACGGTAGAGGAAAATTAAGTTATTCTCCATTTGTAGAATGTCATGTCCGATGCACATTGCACAACGACTTTTAGAACGACAAGTTGCGTTCCCCGAAATTTTAATTAATGTTCTATTCAATTTTCAGCAATGAAAATACGGATAATTCTGTCATTGATGATCAGATCATATAAGGATAAAGAGGGGTACCATTATGAATAGTACTTACTAATGCATTTTTTATCCGTGAAATATAGAAATGATGCCTTTGTTTACAAGAATTAAACCTGACTCAACAAAACTATTGAAGATGTAAAAAATTGTATTTACAAATATTTTATCCTTGAAATAAAAATAAGTCGTTCTTCTAAAATAAATGAAAACTCACCTCAATTCGCATTTTATATTCCGAATATTTTTGTAACCTATTTTTTCAAATAAGGAATTCAGCTCGATCAATAAGCAAAGAATTCAATTTTGAAATATTAAATTTTCACACAATTAGGTTTAACAATTAGAACTTTCGTAAGTTAAATTGGGAAAATTTATATATTTTTTATTTTTTTTATTTATTTTAGAATTGGTGAACTTCCGGCGGATGTTGAATTAGATCTGGAAGGAAGTGGATGCATTCTTGTTCAAACTGTTCTAAGGTTAAAATAGTTGACATATTAGGTGCCTGGGGGCACTCTTGATTTACCCTGTTCAGACTGACGTCTCTTTTACCCAAAATAGTTTTTCCTTATTGTCATACAATCATACAAATCTATAACATTTGGTACCTTTTAAAACAAACCTTGGGCTCTACTTTAATAATCTGCAAAAAAATCCAAATTTGCAAAGTTTAAGCTGGAATAGGGTTAAGTTCTAGCCTTTCTTTTAATTTGAAGTATTTTCTCTTTCGGTTCATCAAGTTCATCAAATAAATGATTTTTATCAAAAAGTAGAAATTGTTGAAAAATTATTTTTTAGGTACAACATTCCTCAAGCCCAAGAAGCGCCTTCCTTTTCTCTCAAGGTTTTTTACTTTGTTAGACTATTATTAATAATCATAATTTAGGTTTTTTGTCAGTGATATTCTAAATAACTCGGAATACAAAAATTGATTGATGACTTCAAAGTCTTCTTTGAGCTTAGAATTTTAATTGCGGCATTCATTATAGGCAAACTGATTTTAGCATTTTTTTAATGAAAAAGTTATCACAAAATTGCCCTAATCCTGAAATTTCCAAAATATGTTTTTTTTTGGTTTCAATTTCAATTTTTTGCATGAAACCCTGAAAATGTCTCATTCTAAACAAAATAAATCGTATCTCCGGCAAACATTAAAGCACAAAAATGGCAGACCACATTTTGGAAATAGTAAAACCAGGGCCTTTCTGTTATTATTGTTAAAGTATAAATATTGCTAAAATCAGGTTACAATGCGCAAACTATTTCTAGATCAAATCCGATTTTGAAATCATCAATTAGTTTCCATTATCTCGGGTTATTTAGAATATACCTGTAAATCAAAAACAAAAATAAATAATTATTTAAATTAAATCTTCAGGTTACAAATGCAGACAACAAGCTGTCGATTTGCACTGCCTACATTGGGCAAAGGAATTCATCTAATTTATAAATTCAATATTTCAAACGTCAGCAGATTTAAAACTGGGAATCTAGTTAAAATTTTCAACCTTTCCTTCAATATATATATATATATATTTTTTTGCAAAAATACAATCTTCTCAATGCGAAATGGAAAATTTTCAATTTTTATCGAACAAAAATTGAACGAAATTTCGCGTAAATGAAGCCAAAAATACATCGAAATTCGCGAAAATTTTGAACAAAAATGAACATTCGTTCATTTTCGCGAATTTCGTTATGAAAATTTCGATGGAAACCTTAATTGAGTCTTTGCCAATAACTCTGATATTCTTATCCTTATATTTTTGCAATTCAATGTACGATACCTATAATGGATGTTAACGTTTTCATTTTTTTTTAACAATCGTTTCGTTATGAAAACGACGATGAAAAATCGAAAACGATCGTTTAATGATCGTTTTCATAAACGATTAACAACCTTAACTATACCTTGGATATTTTAATCTATGAATTCTGCTAGATTTAGTAATTTTATTTGAAAGATCAAATATATACAGTATACACCATCTGCTTGCAAAAATATAGGGATTAGAAAATTTGATTTTGTTTATAATAGTACTCTAATTGGTAAGAACATATTTTATTCTGTCTTCTGATTGGTTGAATGCTTCAAGGGAAAGCACAGACATGGTTGTACTTGAAGTTGAAATGTTAACCGGATATAAGGCTGTTAATCCAGATATTTTACTTAATGAGGTAACAAACAGATAAAAAAGGTAAAATTAACAATTACAGAAAACAACGATATCTTGTTTTTAGTCACATAGACTAACTTATTGGTTTGTAACTTTCACAATGAGAGTTTTACTTTGATAGTTCCTTTGAGAACAATTAATTTTCTACACATCTTAAGATTTCAAGTTTTTCATCATTTTTCAAAGTGCAATGAAAATANAACAAGACAAGTAGGTTTTATACTTTGATGAAATACCTAAACAAGACAAGTAGGTTTTATACTTTGATGAAATACCTAAACAAGACAAGTAGGTTTTATACTTTGATGAAATACCTAAACAAGACAAGTAGGTTTTATACTTTGATGAAATACCTAAACAAGACAAGTAGGTTTTATACTTTGATGAAATACCTAAACAAGACAAGTAGGTTTTATACTTTGATGAAATACCTAAACAAGACAAGTAGGTTTTATACTTTGATGAAATACCTAAACAAGACAAGAATGTTTTCTTTTTTATATATTTTATATTTGAAACCTTTTATCTTGGAACCTGGATAAAAAGAATTAAATATGTGTTTTTGTTTTTGGAAAATGATGACGTCAGCAGATTTTTTATCTTATTTTGGTACAGCATGCTATTCTAAATAAACTGGAATAATATTAATCGATTAAAGCCTTAAAAGGTTTTTAACAGAAATAGAAACAGTTTGCGGCATTCATCACTGGTAATTTAATTTCATCAATATTTTTTAAATAAAACAATTAAATCATAAAATGTGGTCTGCCATTTATTTATTTCACATATATAAAACATTTTAAGAATTTTGTTTAAATTTTAACTTATTTAATCATTCACCAGAGGCCGAATTTAAAGAATTTGATCCGGGGCTTAAATTTAAGTTGCTGCTCAAATATGGGTTGTTCCGCTAAAAATGGTATTCTATGTTTCAAGATTTAAGCCGGCGCTCAATTGAAGTCGGTTTTTGGGGGATTTGAGACACGGCTCAAATTCATTAAATTCGGTTTTATTTAGAATAGCACTGTATTGAGGTTTCAACTTAAAAATGTTGTAATTAAAGGAGCTCATTAATAACAAATTTTAATATCCAAATATCTTCAAAAACCTCATGATCTATTTCTTGCTACAATTTATTTATCTATTGGAATTCATAGTTTCACATATCAAAGGTCTACGAATAAGTTTATAAAGATATACGGTTTTTAAAATTTCAATCTGTGACAACTGACAAGTGTCAGCTAGATTTTAAACAGTAAAAGACATAAGAATCATTTTACTATGTGTGCGAAACGGCTCCTCGGAGTCCGTCGGGAATCCATCTGACCAAATTGTCTGTAGAGAGGGACATTAAGAACAAAATTGTATTCCATTGTATTTATTTCGGCTTAAATGTGCGTTCTATTATAAAGTATTATAAATTATTTGAATTATGAATGTTGATATAATTACAATTACTGATGTCTAATATATGAATTAAAGGAATCCTTAATGATAATATGTTGTGAAGTAATTTTATAATGATTTCCCTGAATAAGTTGATATATATCCCATGATGAATAGAATTAGACTAAAGGAAAAGAGCATGTTTACCTCACAACAATATCATATATAATAGAAATTTCTCTTTATTATTACTTACGAAATAATAGCTTTTGAATAGTTTAAATGGGTCTTATTATTTGTAAGAAATATAATACCCTGAAATAATAGCTTATTATTTGTAAGGAATATAATACCCTGAAATAATAGCTTATTATTTGTAAGGAATATAATACCCTGAAATAATAGCTTATTAAATATAATACCCTGAAATAATAGCTTATTATTTGTAAGGAATATAATACCCTGAAATATATAGCGGGACAATGCAATGTTTCTAAATGTTTTATATTCCGAACACTATTGGAGAGAAATAATAATTTCAAAAAAATAATTTTAAGAATATTTTTTAGATTTTTCTTTTTTTAAGGTGTGTAGATCTTACTATTGAAGAAGAGATGAAAATTGAAGAAAGAAAACCTGCCAGGTAGAACACCTTTCAGCAAGTTCAAGCTTGGATTATTTTTTTTCGACTTGCTGAGCAATGATATGTTAATCATCGATTTTTGAAAAAAAAAATGAATTTTAAAAAATTAGATTATGTAGAAGAAAAATGGTGATTTTTTTTTAGCCTATGTCAATCCGAAGGTGCTCAAGGGTTCCTTAAAAAAATGTCAGCCCATTTGGTTCAGCCGTTTGGCCAACTACCTAGCATATATACATATATATGAGCGTTAAGCTTTGTAATATAGAATAACTATGTTTAAACTATTTTTTTTCATTAATATTATAATGCTTATTTCTTTCTTTGTAAGTATTTCAGTTGCACAGCTTTGAAAATCCGCGAAATCCACTCATTCAAAAAAAATTCCCAATTCCCAAAATCTTCTGGCTTCAAAATTTCTCCTTTAATTACTAATTAGAACTGATGTTGTAGGGTGACTGTTTATGATTACTATAACACAGAAGAGAGATATGAAACAACATACACCATCTGAATATGAAGCATCAAACTCGAGAGTGACATTGCGTTTATGAAATGGAAATTTAATGCATTGTATTTTTGTACTGAATTTAACACTCAAGACTGAATCGTGGACATTTTCTAACATTTAAATTATAAATACCTAACTTTAAACTCGAAAAATTTTCTCCTGACTTTAAATTCAAGATTTACATCTATAACATCAAAGTACTAGACTTTAAACTCGAAACCTACTTAACGCCATTTGTAACAATTGATTACTGGATATGAAACTCAAGATAAACATTATAATATTTTAAAACATTTCGACCATATTAGAAATTTAAAACCAGATTTTGGAGGAACATTAATGCAGACTTAAAATATGTGATTTTCTGAAGAACATTGTCATCTATAATATTAAAGTAATTATGACAATCAATCATAAAAAATTTATAAGAACCATTTTTTATGTAAACCCATATTTGTGATGATTAAATTAGAGAATCAAATTTGAACATTTAAATCCGAATTTTTAAATAAATATATGAACAATTTAAAGAGAACTAGAAAGTAGTAAAACTCAATATGTATTTTTATCATTTACGATTTTTAGTCGACAATTTGCGGATTTCGATTATATTAGATAATGAAGAGTGTTAACTCTTGGGTTAAAACAAAATATTGTTAATTAGGACCGTTTAACATTTGATCAAATTAACAATGATATTCTTGTTTTCCTAGCTGATAATCAAATGTTGGGTAAATCAGAAAAGTGCTCAGATCATTTTACGCAAAAAAAAGGGATAGTTTCGTCCTTATTTAAAGGGAGTGTTCGCGAAAAATGAAAGGGGGTATAGGCTAAATGCGATAAAAAAGCGCTTTTTATCGCATTAAGCCTATACCCCCTTTTATTTTTCGCGAACACTCCCTTTAACAGACATTTTATAGCAAACGTTTATGAATTAGACCTGAACCTCTACATGTTTTTAAGCTATTTTAAAGTACTTCTATGGTAACTTAAAAATACTCTTTATTACATACAGTGAAACCCTTAATAACGAACACATCGAAAGAATTCATCAAATGTCGTATTCTTCACCTTCTGATAATGAAATGTTGCAGATATTTAGTTTTTTAATTAAATGATTATATGGAACTCTATAAAACTGTTTTCGAATATTCATGGCTATTTATTTATTTTTGCAAATACTGAAATTTACGTAATAAAGTATAAAACTCATTAAAAAATTCTCAAGACGACATTTGATAAATTCTTCCAATGTATTCGTTATTAAAAGTTTCACTGTATAATATTTTAAGTGGATGTATTGAACACATTTAATATCTTATATTTGTATTATAACTGGTTAAGTTGTAAGATAATTCTATAATATATTCTTGTTTGCATTTTATGGAGCCTGTTATTGCATAGAAACACAAACTTTTCTCCGCTATATACTTCAATTATATGAATTCAGGAAATAAACAGAAATAAGTCGGACTTACAGCGCTCAGTCGGTGCCCCTCCCTAGGATCAACTTAAGTCATTGGACACTGCCATGCAGCTACTTGACCAATTTCTTAGACGTTCTACCTTGGGTAGAACCATAGTAACGCTTTACCAGAGCAGTGTAGATATATAGATACGACCTATATTTGAACCTATGGTAACATTAATAAGAAATCGGCCTACTGTCTTAAACATTTTTCAAACAATAAACTTTTAGTGTACTTCGCACCCCCTTTTATTTTACTTAAGCAACCGAGCCGTATTTGACTCAAATAAGAGGTTTATGGTGTAATTTCAATATTGTTGACCCCCCCCCCCCCACACCCCCCTTTGGGGGGGGGGGGGGGGGGGGGGGGGGGACGGCTTGTTTAAGGAGGAGTATTTTATAGACAGAGTTAGAAAAGATATAATTCGGACTTTTAAGAAGTGGGACTGTGAGTAACCATCGAAACAACCCTTAAATGTACAGAATTCCTAGATATTCATTTCAACTCTGCAGAAGAATACTAAACCTTACCAAAAAGAGAATTCAGAGAGTTAGGAGTCACCATGTTACCATTAAAAAGTGGTATGAAATAAGTATATAAATAGCCCTAAAACTGACGTAAGTCAATCCACAGAGTATAGGAAAAAATGTATTTACAAGTAAAAAATGAACAAATAAAATGATACTGATGAATCATTGAGTCATAAAAAGCCGGAGCTCTCGTAGCGGATTCTCCGCCTTTCATTCGCCTTGATCGGGGTAACTCTTCTAACTCTTCGTCACTACTGGTCTTTGTTTCGACTTTTGCCCAGGTCATGTCGTGTCCTCCTGCCTTGTTTTCAAGCCCATGTCCATCCCCTTTTGGATGAATTCCCAATAGAATTTCCGGTTTCAACGGCATGGCTTGCTTTTCCACGAGAAGTTGGCATTTCTTAACGTATAAATATCCCTACATGATTCAGATGAGGAGACTTGCCATCTGTCCTACAGTCTGCCCGACCTATAGCTATATACAAAAGAGCTGATACGTTTTCTTGTTTATAGGCCATGACTATAAAACTGTAATTGCAGAAAAGGTGAACATTCTTGTCCTCTACGCGGAGAATGTTTGTCAAAATCAATTATATATAGAGCTGAAGTTATATCAAAAACAGGTCCTGGTTGCTCAGAAGAGAGTGCTGAATATATAGGCCTCGCATCCAACTCTGTTAAAGAGAGATACAACAACCATATTGTTTCATTAAGGGTAAAAAATATAGCAAATGAGCACCAGTCTTTCAAAACACATCTGGGAAATAAAGAACAAAAACGCTTCATTTGAGATAAACTGGTCTATCTTAGCCAAATGCATATCATACCATCCCGCCAGCAAATCTTGTAAGCTGTGCAACCTTGAAAGAACATACATCCTAAAATCTGACCACAACTTCCCTTTAAATAAAAGATCGCAAACCCTGGGAAAGTGCAGATACAGAGAGAAGTTTTTGAACACTAACTGATGTTTAGATATAACTAATTTGCTGTGATTAGAATTAGATGTATATTTTTTATGTAAAATCCTGTTTCATCAATAGTTTTATTTTTTTAAATATCCTAAAAGATTTCAAAAATCTCCCAAAAGATTTTAAGATTACCAAACGCCCCCCCCCCCCTCCATCTATGTACTAGAAAGTTTACTGGATTTGTTAGTGTCCTATACTACAGTTTAACTTCAGCAAACAGCAAGCTTAATTATGAATTGTAAAATGTTAAATAAAATTACATTTTAACATCAAAGCAAAAATAAAAATGGAAGTTAAAAGTTAAAATTTTATCTTCGCAAATAGATTTAGGAATTAGAATTTCTTTTAACATTTATTTTGGAATTTAAATTTTAACAATAAAACAAAATAGAATAAAGAAGACACAATTTTGCTTTTTTGCTTGTTCTATCTCTGCTCATGTACATCTGGAAACAATCTTTCAGCCTTTTATTGTGAAACACTTATTGATATTTTTTTGTTTTTCTGTTTTGAAAAAGATCGCTTCATGTACGAGGGTGCTAGAGCGTCGGGAAACCCATCGGTCGAAGGGTGCAATTTAAACAACAAATTTTTTTAGTCATTCCGGCAAGAACCATGCAATACTTTTAGTTAGTTTTCAAAGCACCTATACCGCTCAAGACAGGATCATTAGGTAGAACTTTCATGGGTCTCGATCTAGAGACAAAGTGATTTTATTTCTGCCTATACCCCCTTTCATTTTTCCTTTACAGTCTCTTTAAGAAAAGATTTTGCATTTACAAAACCTCTCACTGCAATCTTGAGACGGGTTTCTAAATATATGATTGCAGTCTCTATCTGCTCTCTTCTTAAAGGGAGTGACCGGCTATGTAAGGTAGTTGAACTGAGTATGCAGTGTTGTGGAAAACTTCTTTCGGATTCATTTCAGACATATTAAACTTTTTAAAGATCTGTAAATCCTGATTTTGAGCGCAAATTCGAAGTTCGAAATTCCTTTTTGGGGGGTGGATACGTTTTCAGAATAAGTTTTTTGAAATTATTAAATAACGACTACATAAAATGTAAAAAAGTTCTACATTGAACTAGAGGAACATGTTGAGAAAATAAAAATTAATCTTATAGTCGAAAATAAGTAATCTTGTTCAATTACTAGTTTCTATTTTCTCATTATTCACAAAGATTTTCGCTGATTTTTTTAGAATTATTATTGAAAAGACGACATTTAAAGAATTTGAAGAAATCTAAGAATAAATTCAAAGAAAGTTTAATATGTCTCACATGAATCCGAAAGAAGTTATCCACAACACTGCGTTCTCGTTCAACTACCTCACATAGCCGGTCACTCCTTTTAAAGATTCAAAGTTATAAAATTTCATTCATAAATAGTCTAGTTTATTTGTATATATTTTACTTTTTTTATTTTTCCCTTTCTTCTTTTTATTTTATTCCTACTTTTCTTCTAAGACTCATATTCTACTTTAAAGTTAAATTTAAAATAGAAAGTTATTTCTAAACTTCGTTTCGAAACACAAACAAAACTTTTTTAATCTTTGAAACTTTGAAACTTTGATGTTTAAGGATTAAATTTGACATTAAGTCAAGTTCAAATAAAACCCATTAGTATTTTTGTTGTTACATAAATACAACAAATACTGCCTAACTACTACTAGCCTAACTGAATTGAATAATGAAGCGAGTAAAGTACACAAACTATATTTATACATTAAAATAGCAAAAATAATAATAGTTGAGAAAAAGGATAGGTGTACAGACAAACCACTTTAGGAGTTTTTTCGCCTTGACCGGCGGGAGTATTTACAAAATGTTGGATCCCTTATTCCGCCGTTTCTATAGACAGGCGTTATCCCCTTTCTAGTCTGCCCGTCTTGGCTGACCCTGCCGTGCCAACATCTTATCTCTGCTCTGCTCTTATTCCCAAAGAGTGCAAGCGCAAAATCAAATATTTCTAACTAAATTTGTACTTAGCGCATGATATATTGCATGTTGACCTTAACTAATTAAATATCTATATCTTAAAACTAGATCCAT